CAAGGTTACTGTTTAATGGATCACTATCAGATGAGATACAGATTTATAAAGGTACCAGGTCAGCATTCTTTTTTTTTTTTTATTGAAAAAGTTTTACAAATACAAATTTTCCCATTTCCCCCCCTTTCCCTCCCTAACCCTCTCTAACCCTCCCCTCCTTCCATGACTTCCCCAAGGTGAAATCCATCCACATTATATTATATCATACTTTACCACCCTTCTATTCTCCCCCCTGTGTACTATACATTTCTACACAACATTCAGCTAAAAGCTATCTGGTACTTCCTAGTTTGGTATTTATTCTGCACATATTCTATCCATTTCTTCCACTCCCATGCATAGGTCTCTTGAGTCCGGTCTTTTAAGTATGCTGATATCTTCGCCATTTCTGCAAAACTGGCCACCTTCAAAGTCCATTCTTGAATTGGCATAACATCCCTTTTCCAATATTGACCAATCAGTAACGTAGCTGCTGTCACCATATACAGTATCAATTTTGTTTCACCCACTGAAAAGCCCTTAACTATACCCAGTAAAAACAATTAAGGAGAAAATTGGAGTTTTTTCTTCAAAACATTTTGCATAACCCACCAAATTTTTATCCAGAAAGCCTTTACTTTCTTGCAGGTCCACCATATAGGATAATATGTAGCATCTAAGCAATCACATCTCCAACATTTTGGTTGAACATTAGGATACATGCACAACAATTTCTTAGGATTTAGATGCCACCTATAAAACATTTTATAAAAATTTTCCCTCAAATTCTGTGACTGTGTAAATTTAACATTCTGAACCCATATTTTTTCCCACGTTTCCATCATAACTGGGTCTGCAAAATTTTGCGCCCATTTTATCATACAACCTTTAACCAATTCATTTTCTGAGTCTCTTTCTAACAAAACATTATAAACCCTCTTAATATGCATTGGGCCTTTCTCTTTTATCTGTCTAACCAATTCTTCTTCATGCAACATTAATCCAATTTTTTGATCTTCTCTCCATCTCAGTTGAAGTTGATTATACTGTAACCAAGTTAAATTAATCCCTTCTTCCAGCAGTGTGTTTAATGTCTTTAGTTGCCATCTGCCCCCATCACAAAAAAGTACTTCTTTGTATAAAACCCCCCCGAGTGACTTTATATTTATATTCCGTATAATATGACCAAGATCCATCCACAGCGGTATTTTATAATCCCATTTGAGCCGGTGCTTCTTCCATACTCTCATCAAGGAGTTTCTAAGCATATGGCTGTTAAATACTTTATCCACTTTATTTTCATAGAATAAATATGCATGCCAACCAAATTCAAGGTCATAACTCTCTATATTCAATATTCCGGTCTTTGTCCTTCCAAACCAATCACTTGCTTGTGTCAACGCTGCTGCTTCATAGTACAGTCGCAGGTTTGGAAGTTTAAGACCACCCCTTTCACGAACATCTTGCATAATTTTCAATTTCACTCTTGGCTTTTTCTCATTCCAAACAAACTTATTCACTCTTTTTTGCCATTCCGTCAACTGTTTATCACTTTTAAGCACCGGAATCATTTGAAACAAAAATAAAAATCTAGGTAGAACATTCATTTTAACTGCTGCTATTCTTCCAAGTAGAGACAGCTGCAGTTTTTTCCAGGTTTCCATATCCTTTTGTACCTTTCGCCACAGCACCTCGTAATTGTTTTGGAACAGTTTTATATTTGAATCTGCAACTTGAACTCCTAGATATCTCACCTTTGGTACTATTTCAAAGCCTGCCTTCCTTTCCAATTCCTTCTTTTGATCAACTGTCATATTTTTAGTTATCATCTTGGTTTTTTTCTAATTCAGTCTGAATCCTGATACCATACCATATTCTTCTATAATGTCTTTCATCTGAATTATTGATTCCATCGGCCGTGTTAGGGTAACAACCAGGTCATCTGCAAATGACCTTGTTCTGTAATCCTCTTGCCTTATAACTATTCCCTTCAAAGTGCTCGAGTCCCGTATTGTGTTCAACAAGACTTCTAGAGTTAGAATAAACAACAACGGGGATAACGGACAACCTTGTCTTGTGCCTTTTTCTATATTGAAATTTGTAGTTAAGCTTCCATTAATGATAATTTGTGCTGTTTGCTCTTGATAGATTGCTGAGACCGCCTGCATGAACTGATCCCCAAAGTCCATCTTTCTTAAAGTCTTTAATAGAAAGTTCCAATTCACTCGATCAAAGGCCTTCTCCGCATCCAGAAACACCAGCACTGCAGAGATCTGTTTATTCTTCTCAAGATATTCCAATAAATCTATAATTTGCCTCACATTATCCTTCATATATCTGCCTTTTATAAATCCTGCTTGATCATGATGAATCACCTCTTGAATAACTGGCATTAATCTGTTGGCTAATACTTTTGCAAAAATTTTATAATCCGTATTCAGGAGAGATATTGGTCTAAAATTTTCCGGTTTTGTAGAACCTGCTTCCTCTTTCGGTATCAAAGAAACAAAAGCTGCTTTCCATGAAGGGAGTATTTTACCCCCTTGTTGTATGCTACAAAATAAGTCTTTAAGATGTTCAATCATTTCTGCTTGTAGAGTTTTATAATACACTGCAGTTAAGCCATCCGTTCCTGAAGCTTTAGCTGTTTTCAGTTGTTTAATAGCAACAATAATCTCCTCAGCTGTTATTGGTAGACTCGTTCTTTCCTTTTGATCACTAGAAATTTTTATCTCTTTTCTTCTAGATATTTATTTATAAGTTCATTCTGTATATCATCTTTGGCATATAGTTTAGTATAATAATCTAAGAAGGCTTCTTTGATTAGTCTTTGTTGAAACACTTCCTTCCCTCCATGCTCAATACTACCAATAGTCCGAGTACTCTGCTGCTTCCTCAGTGTGTAAGCCAACCACCTGCCTGGTTTATTAGCGTTGCAAAATGTATTATGTTTCGCAAATTGTAAATTAGTTGCTGCTTGTTCCGCTGTAAGCATTTGAAATTGATCTTTCAAAAGTTTTATAATTCCTTGTAATTTTTCATCTGTTGGATTTTTTGAGTAACTGCTCTTTTTTCTTTATCTCCCCTTCCAATTCTAATCTTTTTCTTTGTCGATTTGATTTATGTTTAGAATTCATATAGATCAGTACCCCCCGCATATACGCCTTGCTCGGGTCCCAAACAATTTCAATAGGGGTACCCTTGTTCAAGTTCATTTCAAAAAATTCCTTCATTTGTTTTTTAAGTTCATTTACATTCTTTTCATATCTAAACAAGTTTTCATTTACTCTCCACGATCTTCTCTCATTCTTTCCCATTTCTATTTCTATCCATACCGGGCTATGGTCAGATAAAGTCCTCGGAAATATCTTTGTTTTCTTTGTTTTTAAAAGTAATCAGCCGTAAGTAGAATAAAATTGATCCTAGAGAAGGATCTATGTCTATCTGAAAAAAAAGTAAAGTCCAGTTCTTTTGGGTTATGCCATATATCTTTCAGTTCCAAATCTTCTTTCATATCAAAAAAGATCTCTGGTAGTTTAACACATGACTTTGCCAAACTCTTTTTATCTTTTTTAGAATCTATTACTCCATTCCAATCATAAGTAAGATAGATCTATAGTCCCATTGTAATATTTTAGAGTACAATATTTTATAAAAATTTTCTTGTTGCCGATTAGGAGCATAAATTCCAATCACCAAAATTGGACCATTATCTGTAAAAAGTTCAATTGCTATATATCTTCCACAGTCATCTGCTTCTAAGATTTTTGCTGGCAATCTTTTATTTATATAAATCACTACACCATTCTTTTTCTCCAAATTTGAGGCTGTAAACTGTGTTCCTAATCTAGAATTTATCAAATATTTTTGATCTTGTGTTCTAATATGAGTTTCTTGTAAGCAAATAACATCATTATTAAATTGTCTCAAATAATGAAATATCTTCCTTCTTTTCTGTGGTGAATTCAGTCCGTTCACATTCCAAGATAAAAACTTAATTGTCATTTGTAGTCTCCTGAAGCGTTAAGAGCATTTGCTGAAGTTTCCGTTCCAAACTAGTAGTTTTCGGCTTAGCTCCTCCCATGGCTTCGGATTTTTGTGCTTTACCATTGACTCCCTGCTTGTCTTGTGGTGGCTTAGACCTCTGCTGTTGTTGTTTCTCTAGAATTTGTTTATAAGCTGCTCGAGTTATACGCTGATCTTTACCATTGTGCAACATCAAGTTGAGATCCGCTGCCACTTCTCTTGTATTTTTAAGTGGTTCACCTATAGGCTCTAGGGGAAGATCCAATAGCGATTCATCTAAAAAGCCCTCTGTTGCTCCTTGAGTTTCCATTGCCTCCACCTCCATCTGTTTCCTCTGCTCTTCAAGCTCTTGTTCAAATTGCTTCTCTTTCTCACCCTCCACTATACCTAACACTGAGGATGTACGTGGAGATGTTGCACCAGTTTTGAAAAAACTGAAATAAAATTCTTCCGCTTTTTCAACAGTATTTAATCGATATCTCTCTCCTTGATACCTCAATATTATGCCAACTGGAGCATCCCATCTAAATGGAATTTGTTGTTTCTTTAATTCAGTCACCAAAAATCCAAAATCCTTTCTATCTCTTAGCATCTTAATGGCAGCTCTTTGTAGATCCCAATCTCCCTTCCATCCACTTGAATAGTAGAAACAAAAGACTTTTGTAAGGTATCATTTCTTATTCTTCTATCTGTAAAGTAGATCACCACATCTCTAGGCAATTGCCTTTGCCTTGCCACCCAAGAATTCACTCTATAGACCTTGTCAATTTTGCACAAAATCTCCTCAGGGTCAACCTTTAGCATCACAGCCAGGGCATCAGCACAAACCCTTCTCAAATCTTCTCTATTGTTCTCTTTTATTCCTCTCAGTCTTACAGCAAACTCCATGAATCTAAATTGCATCATTGTCACTTCATTTTCAATCCTTTGTGTTTTATTATCAACATTAGAAATTTTATAATCAACTTCCTTCATTTTAGATTCTATTTCTGAACTAAGTTCTTCCACTTTTTTATCAATCTGGACAACTGCTTCTGACAAGCCAGTCACAACCGTCAGTATGTCACGCTTCATCTTGTCATATTTTTCTTGAACCACCTCCTTAATCTCCTGTTGAGATTTTTCAAATTTCTGGTCCAAAACTTCATTTTGATTCAACAGAGCCGCAGCAATAAATTCCTTCAAATCTTTAAAACTAGTCTCCTGTGCTTGGCTCTGAGTCTGCAAACTTAAAGGCTGCTCTTGTGACTTGTGAGTGGGGGAAACCCCCCCCCCGCAGCTTTGGCTGGCTTTGTCTGCTTTGAAGCCATTCTGCCACACAGACTGATTCTTTCTAAGAAGGAAGTCCTCCCTCCCTTTTCACCACAGAATCCTTTCAAAAATTTCCCCAGCTTTAGTCAAGTCTCAAGGGAGAGGGAACAGATCAAAATCACTTTAAAAAGAACTTTTCCCTTTTCTTCTAGCCAGCGCAGTTACTTTTAGTTACTTTGTAACGTATTAAACACTCAGGCAAATCCACTTTCGCTTTCAGCTTTCCTTACCGCTAAAGCCGGACGGCATTTTAGCAAACTTTTACTTTTTCTCAGTTCTTAAATTCATTCACAGGGCTAATAAAAAGTTTGAATTTCAAGTCCAGATTCCACCCTGTTTATTTTTAGTAATTCTCTTGGCTTTCACTCGTTATGTTGGTCGCGTCGTCTGGCTCTGCTAAATGCAGAGTTGTCCCCGGAGTCCGGAGCCTCGGCGAGCAGGATAGGGAGCCTCACCCTGCTTCCTCCCCAGAAGCAAAAAAGACAGTCTGGGGACTTCGTAGGGGGTTTTACCTTGTCTCGCCGGCTCTCCTCCCGATTCCTCAGGATCGTGGAGTTTTTCAAGCCACCTCTTAGCTGTAGAGGCGGCTCTTTACGGGCGGCGGGGCTGGCAGTCTTGAAGAGACCGTCTAGCGACGACGGCGGTGCCAACTGGAAGTCACCAGGTAAGCATTCTGATGCTGCCATAAAAAGACGAGGCTTGACTTTTCACCTACTTATTTCTCTGTAGATAATATCCCCTAGGAGATGGGATGGTGGGGGGAACATTCCTGTGGGGTGAGGTCAGAAGCTGGGGAGACTGACTTGGAAGATGGCCAATGAGAAGATGAGAATTGGGGAACGGAAAGGGAAGAGTTTGGGGGTCAGAGGGTTAGTATCGGCTACGACGAAGTCGGGGCCAGATCTGTCATACTCAATAAATGGAATATTTCAGCAAAGATTAATTGTTTGGGAGTGCAATTTATTTGAGATGACACTGAAACCTGACAGATGCCCTTTTTCACCGCTGCTATTTATTTTAACACTTGAATCACTTCTTAAGATGATCAGGCAGGATTCGGAAATTAAGGGCTTAATAGTTAAAGGGGAAGAATACAAACTCCAAGCATTCGCCAACGATTTGGTTTTCATATTAGAAGATCCCCTTATTATGGGACCAAAATTACTTACTAAATTAGATGAATACGGGGAGGTAGCAGGATTAAAAATCAATAAGGATAAAACCAAAATGTTAACAAAAAATTTGTCAGGTGCCCAAAAGGAACAGATCCAAAGTATTATGGGGATTAATTGTGTCAAAAAACTTAAATATTTAGGTATTTGGCTTACAAATAGATGTTCTTCTATCAAGGAGCTCAATTATTCCAAATTATTAATAGACACAGCGAATGAAGTGGAGAGATGGCGGCATATTCAGATCTCATTTTTGGGTAGAACTGCCGCGATAAAAGCCCATGTTTACCGAAATGGATCTTTTTATTCCAAACGGCTCCTGCAAGATTGGATAAATTTTTTTTTAGGAAATTAGACCAAATTCTAAGTAAATTTATTTGGCAGAGTAAAAAAACCCATATAAAAAGAAAAATGCTGCAAGAGCACAAAACAAGGGGTGGCTTGGGGCTCCCTATGTGGGAGCTTTATTACCAAGCTTCATCCCTGGTTTGGATAAAAGATTGGGTGATCCTCTCAAGAAAGCGCATTTTAGCAATTGAAGAATATGATTTGCAGCGGGGATGGCATTCCTTTTTGTGGTCTCAGAAAGACAAACAATCCAAACATTTTACTAATCATTATATTAGAGGAATTTTATTAAGGGTTTGGGAAATGGTGAAGAAGCAAGTTTACACACAGATTCCTAAGTGGGTGTCTCTGTTAGAGGCAGTGACCCTTCCGGCTGTGCACAATATAAAGAGGAACTGGGTTTATGGTGACTTGTTGGATGAAGTCGGGAGTCTTAGACCTAGAGCCGATCTCCAAACTAGAGGATTAGACATAGACTGGTGGTCCTATGTGAAAATTCAAACTAGATTCGCTAGGGATAAACAGGAACATGGTATTTCCCTTCATTTACAAACTTTTGACAAGCTTCTCCTTGGTGGCCGAAGGAAATTTATTTCCAACGTTTACAATCTTCTTCTGTCCAATTTTATGGCGGAGGAGATTGTAAAGGACACGATGATTGCCTGGGGGAGAAATATTGGAACAACAATTCAGTTTGATGCATGGCAAAATGTATGGAACAAAACTATGAAACTGACCCTTTCTTCCCCGTTCAAAGAAAATTTTTATAAAATGATCTACCCAAGTTGGTATCTTCCCCCCACCAGAATCGCTAAGATGTTCCCAGGATCCTCTGATAGATGTTGGAAATGTGGGTTGGCCAAGGGTACTTTCTTCCATCAGTGGTGGATTTGTCCGTCAGCTAGACGCTATTGGGGGAAAATACAGCAGTGGCTGCTGGAAATAACAGGTGTGGGCTTTCCCCTTCACCCAGACCTCTACTTACTCGGAGTAAGACCGGACTACATTGATAAGAAGGATTGGTATATATTTGTCCATGTCTCAACAGCGGCGAGAATGGCATTTGCTCAACTGTGGAAAGATGCAGATACGCCTCCCGACCATCTGATAATAAACAAGATTCTCTGATGTGCTGAGATGGACAGGCTAACGTATATCTTAAAAGACAGGAAAGATTCAGTATATAATAGAAGTTGGGACAGATGCTTTGTCTGGCTCAAAAGAAGGTTAAACTTAGGAAAAGGGTGATAAGATCGTCTAATTAGATTAACTAGATATTTACTAGGCTTTATAACTCTCTATAATTTTGATAAAAACAGACCAATTGTTTTGTAGATAGTTAAAAGAACTTGATTGCATTGAAATGTTTGGCTAGGATGATATTAGTTAATATTAATTGGAGAGTGAGCTTAACTCTCGGTTAGTCATGTTTGTTGTTTTGTTTTAGTCTTGTGTTTATGTGTTTCTATATTTCACTTCTTATATTGCTTTCCAATCATTATTGTGTGTTAACTTTACTATAAATATTTAATAAAGATATTAAAAAAAAAACAAAAAAGACTACATTTCCTCTTTTTTTCCCTTCTCAGATCCTCAGTTAGCCAAGTACAAAGTCTTGAGCAGAAGGGAAAATTTGTTAGGGATTCTTCCCTGAATTTCTTTGCCAAACTTCTGTTTGCTGTCCTTCTTTGCTCACTCAGGGAGCTGATTACAGATAGTCCTCAATTTATGGCCCAATTGAGCCCAAAGTTTCTGTTGCTCAGTGAGACAGTTATTAAATGAATTTTGCCCCGTTTTACAACCTTTCTTGCTACAGTTGTTAAATGAACACTGCAGTTCTTAACTTAGTAACATGGTTGTTAAGTGAATCATGTTTCCATTGATTTTGCTTGTCAGAAGGTTGCCAAAGCTGATCATTTGACCCCGGGACACTGCAACCGTCATAAATAGGAGTCAGTTGCCAAACGTCCCAATTTTGACCACGTGACCCTGGGGATGCTGCAATAGTTGTGTGAAGAACGGTCCTAAGTCACTTTTTTCAGTGCCGTTATAACTTCTAACGGTCACTAAACGAACTGTTGTAAGTCGAGGATGACCTGTACAAGAGAAAAAAACCAAGTGAACGGCATTTAGATCATGTACCATATAGTGATGACATTGATTTCCTGCTCAACCTGGTCCTTCACGTGTTCCCCCATTGCCAGTACCAGGGATCCTCACTGCCGGCCATCTCCTTCCTTCCACCTTTCCCAGGAGAGAGTCTGGGAGGTCTTTGCATAGTAAGGAAACACTTAGGAAGCATAGCTGATCTTGGTGACTGGTTGCCAAGAAGCAAAAAAAAAAGTCACGAAGAGTTAGACAGCCTGAAAGACAGGAGAAACTAACTTTAGAAAGTGTATTTATTTAATTTTTACCCTACCTTTATTATTTTATAAGTAAGACTGTTAAGTATACTCCTTCCTCCTATTTTTCTCACAACAACCACCCTGTGAGGTTGGGTTAGGCTGAGAGAGGGACTGGTCCAAAGTCACCCAGTTGGCTTTCACGCCTAAGGCGAGACTAGAACTCACCACCTCTTGATTTCTAGGCCAGCACCTTAACCACTTGACTAGACCAAACAGGATCTGTTTTGTGCTGTAAGTGTACTTTTCCCCATGAAGCTGTTTGCAGGACTGGCCCAAAAATAAAAACACGAGACTGAGAGCACCTGAAAGCCATAAGGCCTACTAGACCCTGACAAATGAGAGTTAGCAGTGAGTTTCAAAAGCTAGATTTCAGGGAGCTGCTTCTTGGGCCTCTGAAGGATTATCTAAGTAGGACAGCAACTGCTTTTTGCTATCTTTTTCTGCCCACCCATGGGCCCTCTGAAATCTGCATGCACTTATAAATGAATCTTAGCCCTTTAATTTTTTTAACAAAAAGGCTACTATTGCCCCTTCCAGTTGAGGAGCAGACTTGATGTGTGCTCTTTTCTAGCTTGCTATGACTTCACTTGGCTGTGGGTCCTGCACAAGTTCTAAAGCAAAGCAACTTCCCAACCAATCCTCCTCCACCAACCCCCTCCCCAAGCCTGTATTTAAGAGGAAGGGGGAGCTCCGGCCCCAGCCAGCAACCATTTCCTGTTGCTCTGCAATCTTAATGCAAACCAGACCCCAACTCTGAGCCTCGTCTGCGTTTCCTTTTGCAGTCGGGAGGAGGTAGACACAGGAGGCGGACACAACCTGGGAGTTTCTGGGCTTCCTGGCTGTCCCAAAGGCCCTGGATCATTCTCCTCCTAACACCCAGGTAAGCAGCATAGGAGTGGGCTCCTTTCCCTTCCCTTCCTTTCTGTTTTTCCTTCGATATTCTTCTCTTTTCTCCCCCTCCCCTCACTAAAAGAAAAGCAAGAATGTCTTTCTGTGTTTGGCCACTCATGGAATGATCTGATGTCCCCCTCGGCCAGCTTTATAGGAATTCCCAGTTCCAGGATCTCTTAATGCAGGGGTGTCCAAACCGCAGCCCACAGGCCACATGCAGTACTGGACAATAGCAATAGACTTATATACCGCTTCACAGTGCTTTACAGCCCTCTCTAAGCGGTTTACAGACTCAGCATACCACCCCCAACAATCTGGGTCCTCATTTTACCGACCTCGGAAGGATGGAAGGCTGAGTCAACCTTGAGCCTGGTGAGATTCGAACTGCCAAATTGCAGGCAGCAGAAGTAGCCTGCAGTACTGCATTCTAACCACTGCACCACCACAGCTCAGCTGGTAACAAGGTCCCACAAGAAAATAAAAATAAAAAATAAAGGAAGTTTGTTATTTATATACATTAACTACATTATGTATTTTAGAGCAGTGTCCCTCAACCTTTTGGGCACCAGGGACCATTTCCGTAGAGAGAGGTTTTTCCATGGTCCAGAGGGGTCGTGGTTTTGCGTGCTCCCTGCATCCCAATGGGGTTTCGCTTGTTTAAGTTTACTTTATTGTCATTGCACCTCATACAACGAAATTAAATGCCATCTTCAGTGTACATCATACATAAGAAAACTATAAAAAAAATAAAATGAAAACGCACATCCTTCACATTCTATACAATTGAATATTGCACTATACAGTAGAATTCAACATACTTACTGCTCTGGGATAGAAGCTGTTTTTCAGCCTATTTGTCCTTGTTTTTATCGTCCTGTACTGTCTGCCAGATGGCAATAGTTCAAAAAAAGGGTGCCCAGGATGAGATGGATCTTTAAGAATGTTTTCAACTTTCTTAAGACAGCGGGAGCTATAAAGCTCTTCCAAGGAGGGGAGAGGGCAACCAACCAATCATCCTCTGGGCAAAGATGTTAACCCTCTGGAGCGCTGTCCTATCTGCCACTGTGCAATTAGAAAACCATACACAGTTAAGATATTCTCTATGGTGCAGCAGTAGAAGGTCACCAGCAATTTTTCATTCAGTTGTTGTTTCTTGAGAAGTCTCAGGTAGTATAATCTCTGCTGGGCCCTTTTGACCAGGGCTGCAATGTGAGCGCCCTGGGTCAGGTCCTTTGATGATGTTTGCACGGCCCACTGGCATGCCGCAGACCAGTGGTGGTCCCCAAACTGGGGGTTGGGGACCCCCGTTTTAGAGGCAGCCCAAGACAATTCCTCTTCACTCAGTGTGGTCCAGGCAAGCCAAAGGCCGGCCCAATGCATTCCAGTGGCTGCTTGGCAGAGAGCTGGGCCTCTGCTTCCCTTCTGCCCAGGGTCCCAGCTGGGAGGGTAACTTCCTGGCCACCTGTGGCATTAGGCAGGCAAGACTGGGCCATTTTTTGGCCCTTTCAGCAGGGCAGGGAGTATTGCTGAGCTACAGCTTCCCCCAAACCAGAGGAAACGTTCCATGTTCCTGTGTCCGAAGGCCTCCAGGGAGGAGAGTGAGGCCGGGGCCTGCCCAACCTCAGGAAAGCTGCTTTCCCTGCCAGAGGGAGGGAGGGTGGGTGGGCGCATCCCCTCTTGTGCCCTCATGAGTGCTGCCCCTTTGGGAGGCCGGGCGCAGCTGAAGGGCCAAGATGCCTGCCTGCCTTCCCATCCCTTCCTTGGAGGGCGTCCTTAACCAGGGCAACTGGATGGAGAAGCGGCGCTTGTCCTGGGAAGCCAGAGCTGCCCTTTGGCCTAGTTCAGCCTGCCAGCCGCCTTCCTCCGCCCCCGCTGCCCATCAGCGCTCCAGGCCGGGGTTGCGAGGCGCCCTCCCGCCTCAAGGCCGAGAAAGGCCGCTTGCTGGAGCCGCCGCTGACCTGCCCGCCGCCGCCCCGCATTTCTGCTGTTTCGGCCACGGCCGGGAGACTCCTGGGAAAAGCCGGCGGATCCGGCTGCCTCTGCCCAGCCGAGGGCGGCTTGCTCAGGGAAGAGGCTGGGGAGAGGGAGGCCAAAGCCGGTCCCCCCAGGCGGCCTCCCCGCTTGCTTGGAGTCACGGACGCCTGACGGAAAGCCTCCGGGCCGCTCGGGGATGCGCCCTTGGCGGCAACCTTCCCGAAAGGCTGGGGCGCAGGCTGAAGACGGGGCAGGTCCTGAGGCCGCCTTTCCTGAGCTGAAGCCGCTCGCCGGACGGCGCCCACGGGGCTTCCCCAATTTGGGCGTAAGGGGAAGGGGCGGCCGGGGCGGGCTGGGCTCGCTCTCGGTGGGCAGGACGGCGCTTCCCTGGCCCTCTGGCAACCGCCCCGGAGGCCGTCCCAGCGGAAAGACGGGCGGGCTCCTGTCCGTCCTGCTAATCCCGCTGCAAGGGGCTCTGGGGCGGCGGCGGGAGCGTCCCTTCCCCCGGCCGCCCCGCCTGTCCCGCTCGCTTCCCGCCCCCCGGCTGGCCCCGCGCGCGTCTCCGCCGAAAGGAGCGCCCCTTTCCACTCCCGCCGGGCGGTCGGCCAGCTCGGCTCGGCTCCTCAGCTCCGGCCGGATCCTCCCGCGGGCCCTGCCTCCCCTGCCGCGATGGGGAGCCGACGGCCGCAGCCTTGAAGGCAACAGGTAAGCCGCAGCTGCCGTTCCTGGCGAAGCTGGACGCGCCTTCGAGGAGCCGCCGCCGCTTCCCCGCCTCGGCTGCCCTGGCGGCGGACGTGGCGAGAGGGCTTTGTCGACGACCGCCGGATGAGCTCGCTTTCCGGATCAGCCCGGGGGCCTGCGCGAGGCTTCGCCTTCGGGCCGCGGCGGTTCGTGGGTGGCCACAACCTGGCGGGGGAGGCAGGCAGCGGTGGTCAGTCGAGCACGAGGCCGGCGACTCCTGGCCGCCACTCTGCGCGAGTTCAGAGGTTGCCTCGCTCCTTCATGTTGCCGGCCCCGACTCAACCTCCCCGTTGACCCCAACGGAGCCCCTTTAGCCGGAGCCTCTCTGGGGGAAGCGCCTTTCCTCCCTTGCCCCGAGCCAGGGCAGGGGGCAATTATGGGGCCGCGTCCCCGCAGGCTGCCCGAGGAGCGCCAGGAGGGGGGCGTCACCTGGCGGCTCACCAGCCCCCGCCGCCCCGCCTGCACTGGGCGCTGCCCGGCCGCGGATGTCCCGCCAAGGAGCCGCGGCGGGAGAGGAAGGGCTGGAGGCGCTCCGTGCCGCTCGCTCCCTCCTTCGCCGCGTTGAGGCCCGGCGTGTTTCTTGGCAGGGGGCGGCGGGGGGGGTCGCCATGTTCTCCTGAGCACTTCTAAGAGTTGTAGCGTCTCCAGCTTCGCTCCCGAGGGTTTCTCCCGCCCGCCCGCCTGCTCCTCCTGCCCCGGCTGGCCAGCAGCCCGTCCTAGCCGAGGCCCAGCAGCCTCGCGGCGCAGGAGAAGCCGCGCTCTGTTGGGCGGGAGGCTGTGGCACTGCTGGGGCTCCCCCGGGCCCTGGAAAGAAGCAGCCCGGGACCCCTTTAAAGCGGCTTACTCAACAACCTCCCGTGCCTCTTCTGGAGGGGCTTTGTCATCGGCGCCCATTGCAGCTCTCCAGATGGTGAGGAAGCAAATTCCTGTGTAGATGGAAGGCAGCCAAAACTGATCCATCCACCCCAAAGAATCGAAAGTGCCAACGCATATTTGGCCATATGCAGGGCATTTGTTCTCTAGATGTTAAATTTAATAGATGAACAGAGTTGGAAGGGACCTTGTAGGTCATCTAGTCCAACCCCACCCCAAGCAGGAGACCCTACACCATTTCTGACCAATGGCTGCCCAGTCTTTTCTTGAAAGCCTCCAGTGATGAAGCTCCCACAACTTCCGAAGGCAACTTCTGTTCCATGGGTTGATTGTTCTCACTGCCAGACCTTGTGCCCAGGTCACACCCCTTGGGTGTTCGTGAGAGGAAGCCCCCCCCATGCATCTTCTCTGCCCACTTACCTGCGGGCAGCCTCTGGCAAGGAGAGGCGGGGGAGCTGGGTGCTTCCCTGAGTCAACCGGTTTCTCCCCAAAGGGAAGCTGCCTCTCTTTGGTCCCAGGGCAGGGAAGTCCTCTGACCTTTGCCATCTGAACAATGCCGCATAATGAAGTCCCCTCGCAAGAACTGCCCGGCTGGTTCCAAAGCAGTGAAGAAGTCAAGGGTAGCACATGGAGTTGCCACAGGCAGTTGTCTTTCCTAGAGTTCGGAGGACCCTTGAGTCCAGTGCCAGCTCTCCATAGGAGCCCCAACTCAAGCTTCCCAAAGAGATGGCTGCCTGGCTCCATCATCACTACACAGCCAGAAAAGGGAAGCTCATTCTTTTCACCCTCAAAGTGCACTCCCTATTAAGAACCACTTCAGTTGACATGGGGCTTCCTGTTCTGTAGCTTAATTTTATTATTTTTCTTGTGCCCTTTGAAAAATTGAGGACAACCTTTATGCTTCTGTGTTACAACATTTTCAAATACTTATATGCTATCTCTTCTCCCTTAAACCTTCCTAGTTCCTTCAGGTTTATTTTCTCATAGAATGTAACTTTCCAGTTTCTTGAAAATCTGATTCCCAATTATCTTAATTGTTCTTTGAATTTGTCTGAATCCTTTTTAAAGTGTAATGTCTACAATTGGACATAATACTGGATCCCTCCCTTATCCTGGCTATAATATACAAGATTAGATATTAGATACAATACCTAATATACAAGATTGGGTAATTTGGAAAGTGTATTAAATTTGATAGCCATATTTGCCCCTTTTTGCAGCTAAATCACACAATTCAGCCTTATTCAGTTTGTAATAAACTATTTCTCCAATTTTTTCCCAAGTATTGTTCCCAAGCCAAGTATCTCTGTTCAACACTTTTGCATTTGATGTTACCTAATAATGTCTTGTCTCTGTTAAATATATTATTTTTCAGTTTGACAAAGGAAGCTTTTACTGTGGGTTTTTTTTGGGTGGGGGTTGCTTTTGAGTCTGTTGATTACTTGGACTAATCTCTGCAGTTCTCTTGACAAAAGTTTTTCAGGAGTGGTTTGCCTTTGCTTCTTCATCCCAGGACTGAGAGAGAGTGACTGGCCCAGGGTCGCCCAGCTGACTCCATGGCTAATGTTGGAACTCTGGTTTCTAGCCTGGTGCTTAACCACTGTACCACCTGGCTCTCCTTACTGTGTTAGCAGAGAGCATTTGGCCATCTTCAATGAGCAGATGCTACAACAATTCTCTTCTATTGGATTGCTCTCTATGGATGCCTTTGATGTAGAACAGTGTTTCTCAACCTTGGTAGCTTGAAGATGGGTGGACTTCACCTCCCCCCCCCAGTGCTGCTGGCTGGGGGATTCTAGGAGTTGAAGTCCACCCATCTTCAAGCTTCCAAGGTTGAGAAACACTGGTGTAGAAGATGCTCTTTCTTGGCTCACATCTTCACGAAGCTTCTCGTGCCACCAACATTCTGCTCTATTTATTCCCCCTGGCTGGAGTAGTTTGCAATTGTGTTTTTAATACTGTATGGCCTTTTTAGGAACTTTTCTACTCATTTTCCCATCACCTTCTTCTTTCTGCTTATAATTGCTTTGAGTTCATTAAAACTGCAAGTCCAAAGTATAGGAGGTTTGACTACGCTCAGCTAGTTTTCTATAAGAATGAGTATTCCTGCTGTTTTCTACCAGCTCCTAACTCTTCCCCATTGGTTAATATCAGTTGAAGGGCAGCTGATCTCCCACCCTTTGAGGGATGGAGTTGTCAGGGAGTTAAGACAGGAATTTTCTGGAAGGATTAAGTTGCAGAGTTTGCCTTCCGTTGTTATTCCTTCCTGCTTCTTTGACAGATCTACAATTAACTTTTGAATGGTATCATTCACATGTTTTGGGGTTTTTTTGACACGAGGTAATATATCTGGGGCATACTTTAATTTTAACTAATTTCACCACTATGTTTGACTGAGGCATTCCTTAGATTTCTGGAGATAAGAATATTTATAATATAAAGTGCAATCTCCCCCCCCCCATTTTATTGTTTCTGTTCCCTTTTGACCGAGTTATGCTGCTCACTTGCTATATTCTAATCATTGGAATCATCCTGCCAAATTTGTTACACCTATCAAATATGTTTTTCTTCCTGGAATGAAAATTCCCTATCCTCTCAGTATTACTGTGGAGATTACAGCCATAACCCTTGTTACTCAATCATATTCCTCATCATTGTTTTCCGCTGAGTGTCCTAAGAGTTCAGTTACTGTCTTTCTCCTGCAGTGCACACACATCCTTATACAAAGGTCTTCTATGTTTACATCTCCAGCCCTGACAGAGGTAGTTTGAACCCCCCTGATAACTTGTAGCATAGATCCACAGATCATCTGGGGTATAGTCCATTTTAATGAGAAGAGAAGAGAAGCTGGAAAGGACTTTGGAGGTCTTCTAGTCTGACACCCTGCTCAAGCAGGAGAACATTTCAACTTACACCTGTACACCTGTACTTATACAAGTCCATCCTCCCCAAACTGAACTTGTAGCATTTTTTCTTTCTTGTCCTCTTCTCTGGAGTGGAAGGATGGAGAAAATGTTTTGAACCAGGTCCCAAAGCCCATGATGTAGTTGTCACTGCAGCAACATTTGTTCCCACCAAGGAACAGGAAGGGGGCATACCTTCAGTGGAAGTGAGAAATCTTGGAAGTTGTTCTGTAAGTGTCCTTGACATGTACCCAAGAGACCCGGCCTGGGTGGCAGCAGGATGATGTTGTTCGTCCATTGTTTTTGAAGAGGACCTTGACATCTAGTGGGTTGTGGGCTGTCCACACTGTGTCCGCAGATGGCTGGTAAGGCCTATATGGACACAATGTTCTGCCACATGTGCAGGCAGCAGGAACAGAAGCCTCAACACCCAGTCAGTTGTTCTTCCTCTGAGATGGAGCCATTCCTGGACATTGATGGGAAGCCCTAGGAGGCGTGGGATATACGGTAGAAGAAAAGGGAAAGCCTCCGCTTTTGGCCATGGTCATCAAGTCCTGGGCCAGACCCACAAAAGAGCGACTGGGCCAGCTTTGAGGATGGGAGGTGCCATTTCAGCTCTCTCTTCAGCCAGGAAGCTCCAAGAGGCTTCCTTCCTCCCTTGCCTGCTCCGTTCTGCATTTCAGCCAAAGGGAGCTAAAGCAGAGGGCAAGGGAAAAAATCCACTTCCTGTCCGATTTGGCTGCTGGCTTCGATTTACTCCTGGCCTGCCTGAAGAGGGCAGTTGGGCTGGGCGACTGTCACAGGATTTGGCAGCCTCTGCCAGGACTCCCATGACGCCTCTGCAGGGGCGGGGGCGGGGGGAAGTCAAGCTGTTCTTGCTGGTTAAAAGGACCCTGTTTTGCTGCCAGCCTGGCTTCAAAGCTCCTTTTATTTTACTTGCTTCCTTCTGAGTGCTACGGAAAAAGTGGTTGTGTGTCTCTTATTGGTCTGGTTTCTTGAAAGCAGGCAGGCAGCCTTTTCCTAGTCAGAGACTGCACTGTAGTTGGGATCCAGCCCATCCTGCCTGCCCCCACATTTCCACCTCTGAGACGGGCAGATGTGAAAGAACCACTGTGACATCACCTGAGTGTAGTGAAAAAAGCACTCGGCTTCTGTTCCGGCACCAGAGCAGGGGTGGATTTCAGCTCCCAGAATTCCTGAGCCAGCCTGGTTGTAGAGGGGCCATCGTTGTCCACCCTGCAGAGGATGCCTTCAGCCTTGCAAGAAGCCTAATATCCCTATTCTGTCCCTTCTGTGACACAAAAGCAAATACTGTACTCTACCAAAAAAATGTCACCTTTGCTGAATGCCTGATTTGACACTGCTTTGCAAATATGTGGCAGAGTGTCCCTGGGGGCTCTCCTAGGCTGCCCAGCCAACCCACCTGTAAGCATCTCAGCATTCAGAAGTCAGCTGATATGTATCCCATGACCAGCAGGTAAAACATTAACTCCAGATCTTAAGTACCTGTAAAAGGTTGCACTCCACTCCAACCTACTTTTAGCCATGGAGACTCCTGGGTGACTTTGAGTCACTCACCCTTCCTCACCCCAGCCTACCTCACAGCTCATGCATTTGGGGATCAAATGAAAGACAATCGGCCTCTAAGCTCCCTTGAGCAATGGAAGGAAATGTAAGGAGCAGATTGTTTTAATTTTTAATTAATTAATAGTCAAGACAAACCAGCTAGCCAGGTGAAGGGCTTTGCAAGGTCCAGCATGATGCAAACCTTCCTCACTGCCGAAACTCCATCCTCCCCTCTCCAGGTACCATAAAGGCATCCACCATGGAGGCGGACGGTGAAGGGGAAATGGAACTCCTGAGTAGCAGCATTGCAGCCTATGCACACATCCGAGGTAGGTGGACAAATGGGGCTTGGTTGAAAGGTGTGTCTGCCACCACACCAGGTAATGTCTGAGAGTGCTTGATGGGTGCACAACGTGCTTTGTCTGGCTTGGCAGGATCTCTTGGAAGGGACTGAGCCCAATTATCTGGGAACCGGATAATTCAGGAGCCGGTTGATGCTGAAGAATTAGACAGGGTCCTTGTGGCTATAAGCTCACCTATATGGACTCAGGCCCCTCCTGGTTGATCAGGGATCCCAGGAGTGGTATGTATTTGGGTTGTGTGGTGGTTAAATGCCTCTTTGCAAGAGGATATGGTACCACCTGTCTTGAAGGATGCGATGGTGAATCCCTTCTCAAGAGGGTATCCTTCTACCCCAACAGTATGAGGTAACTTCTATCAGCCTCCAAACTTCCCTTTATAGGGAAGATCATTGAACTCAACACTCAGCTACAAAACCCTGGATGAAATTGATTATTTGGACCATGTTCAATCTGGATTCAGACCTGGATACAAAACAAACTTGTGACTCTTGTAGATGACTTTCAGGGGACTAAGATGAGACTGGTGCAACTATTCTGGCCCTCCTGGACCTTTCAGCAACTTTTGGTGCCATCAACTATGGTATCTTCCTGGACTAGCATTGGGGGGTTTGGGGTGGGAGGCAGTTTTGCAGTGATTCTCCTCTTTCCTTCCTAGCCAGGTCTAGGGCCAGACCCTTGTAACGTGGGATGCCTCGGGGCTTGAGTCTTTTCTGAGCTTTCCTCTTTAAATCTAAACCGCTGGGGAGGTCATCCAATGGCATGGGCTTATACATCCACCTCTCTCCAGGCAGGTGATGCTGTGCAGTGCTAACCGAATACCTGGAGGCAGTAAAGGCCTAGATGGGGAGAAATTGGTTTCTGCTCAATCAGTTGAAGTGCCTTTCACCCCTCCCCCAGCCCGGGTGATATGTCATCTTTGACTCTGGATGGGTTCTATTCCCCTGGACTGAATCCCGTCTCCTGCTCCAGAAGCAGGTGGCAGCTGTGCCTAAGTGGGCTTTGCACAGATTGAAGCGTTGCTAAAGCCTTGGTCACCCCCTGCTTGGATTACTGCAGTTTGTACTGTTTTTCAAGAGACCTTGGAAAATTTCACTTCTTCATCAATTTATGGGCCATAGCTGCTTCAAGTGCAAAGATTGTAGGGCCTGTTGCTTTGCTTTTCTGGTTTTTAAAATGAACTTACCTCTTGTTGTTTTAAGCATTGGTGGTTTTGAGGCTTTTTTTCTTATTGTTCTCTTTGAAGTCCTTCCAGGAGGGAGAAATGGTGGAGATAGTCAGGTTCAATCCCTTTAGTCTAGCTAGCCTGTCCATATCATTTTCTGCGTAAATTGCCATTCCCTCCTTGCAGCCTGCTTGAAGAGCAGCATAGAAAGAATAGAAGACATTCCCCCAAGGAGCAGATGTGCAACTAGAGATCAGAGCAGCTTCCTGTGCCCCAGAATGTTGATTTCTGTAGACCACAAGCTGGGAAGGATCCGCCCAGTGAGCCCCCACCCTCTCCGTCTCCTCCCCCCATCCCAGGCCGCCATTTCTGACCTGCTCCTCTTTGTCTTGCCTAGAGAACCTGGAGAGTGTGGGCCTCTACTTTGTGCTGGGTGTCTGCTTTGGTCTGGTGCTGACACTCTGCCTGCTGGTCATTCATATCTCATGGCACCCTCAAGCCTTTCCCCCCAAGCGCCGAAAGAGCCTGCAGGACTTGAGTGAGGGTGAGGAAGAGGAAGAGGAGGAGGAGGAGGAGGAAGAGGAAGAAGACACAACCGACCACACCCTTTCTCTCCCCCCCTTAGCCATGACAGAGCTGCCCCTGGTATCCCCCAGCACCCCAGATGGAACCCTCACAATCAACGTCTTTGCTTCGGCTGAGGAACTGGAGCGTGCCCAGCGTCTGGAGGAGCGCGAGAGGATCCTCAGAGAAATTTGGCGTAATGGGCAACCGGACATTCTAGGGACTGGGACTGGGACCGGGACCATCGGGAGAGTCCACTACTATTGACCAACCTCTTCAGTTCATGCCTAAACTGAGTAGGCAACTGTCCTGCACTCCTTGAGGCACTGCGACAGTCACGGACCTTGAACTAAGAGGGATAATAGCGGATGGGAGAGGAGAGGTCTTCCCCAGAGTCAGAGTGACTCTGACTGGGAGCACCACACATAGGCAGTGGGAGCTTCCAGGATCAGTTGGGCAGAACTATGTCAGGGATACTAAGGGGATCACTCCCAGGTACCTGCTTCTCTGACCCTGTGGGGTGGGGAGGAAGGGAGTCTATCAGAAGTTGTATTCAACAGGTTCTGACCAGTTCTGGAGAACCGGTACAGGAAATTTTGAGTAGTTCGGAGAACTGGTAAATACCACCTCTGACTGGCCCTGCCCCCATCTATTCTCTGCCTCCCGAATCCCAGCTGATCGGGAGGAAATGGGGATTTTGCAGTAACCTTCCTCTGGAGTGGGGTGGGAATGGAGATTTTACAGTATCCTTCCCCTACCATGCCCACCAAGCCACGCCCACAGAACCAGTAGTAAACAAATTTGAAACCCACCACTGGAGTCTATCATGGTTCTGGAAAGTTCTTACGGCAACCCCTGATGGATCTGGAAGGGAGAAGGCTTGAGGAACTTTGGGCCCACTTGGTGGAAGGATACAAGACCTTCGGGGGTTGAAACCTCCAACCGCTGAAGAAGCTGGGTTCAGTACGAGCAGCCCAGCCCAATCTTAGCTGAGCTGCTTGCCCAGTGCTGGCACTGTGCCCAGGGATGTCCTCTGCACCTCCTCTCTCCCTCCAGCTGGTGGGCAGGCTCTCCTCTCAACTAGCCAAGCCATAGGAAATCCCACCACCACTACCAAACAATTCCTTATCTGAAGTACTGTATTTTATCTCAGGCTACCCTCCTACAACATGGTGACTCCTGGAATTTTCTCTGCGGTGGAATTTCTTGTTTTCTAAAAAGGGGTTCAGCAGAGGGACAGGCAGAGATGGGCTGCAGGGGTTCCGGTGCCCAGGCATTTTGTTCTATTAGTTCCTCACTGCCTACAGGGGTTAACTCAGTGTTTCTCAACCTTGGTAGCTTGAAGATGGGTGGACTTCAACTCCCAGAATCCCCCACCCAGCAGCGCTGGCTGGGGGATTCTGGGAGTTGAAGTCCACCCATCTTCAAGCTACCAAGGTTGAGAAACACTGGGTTAACTGATTGGTAGCAAATATTCCATTTAGTGTGTAAAACTTTGCCTTATCTTTTATAAAACAGAATTATTTCAGTGCAGTAGTACTTGTGGTGCTCAGCGTTCAATCCCTTAGGCTGGTTGTGGGTGTCATTCTTCAAAAATGCCCCAGTGCCGGGGGGGGGGGGGGGGTGGGGGGAGAGCGAGCCACCAGTTTTGTATTGCTTGGAAAGAATTGCATAGATTCCTTCCAAGGGTCCTTTTATAGTACAACTTCATTTGGATCACGTGCCAGTCCAGCCACCTTCCCCCGCCCTCCTTCCGTGGAGGACACTGATACTTTCCTGAGAAGTTTTGGTTCTTCACGTCCCAGGCTCTCAAGGAGGGGGGGAATGCATGGACCACCCCTTACAGAGCCCTCTTAGTTTGTGAGAAGCGAGCTGTTCCCACACTTGGTTTCCCCCTCATAACCTTCCAGAGATTCCCTGGTCTTCACCTTGGGGGGGTGGACAGATGCTGACCCTCCTTCCCTGCTTTTCCAGCAGGGAGTAGATGGCTTTGTCCTATAGCTAGAGGGGATTGTGATTAAACCAGGCGTGCACACACACACACACAAGAAAGAGATGCAGTTCATGCAAACAAGTAGCTGTAAAAAAAGTTAATTTTGGAATTCAGGAAATCAGTTAATTTTGTCATCCGAGACAAAGCAGATCCTGGACTCTGGTTGCTGAGGGGGTGGGAGGGGGTGTCATTGCTCCCGGGATGAAGGAACTCCTCCACGCACTCCCTTTCCTCCTGGCTGCCTCCCCGCTCCCTCTCCCTAGAGAGGAGTGGTAAAAATAGCCTTTCCGCTCAGTCCTGTTGTAATTTGAACCAGATGTTTGCCAGATGTTTTCCTGCAAAGCGATTTCCTGCAAAAACAGTTCAGGAGGCTGTTTGGAGTGCTAGAGAAGGGGAAGGAGAAACAGCAGCCCTTCTCAGTTTGGCAGGGAAGAAACAGAAGTCTTTTCCTCTGAGGGGGGGCAGGAAGGTAGCCCTCTCCTTCCCCACCTATAAAGCTTCAGTTTTGCCATCTGTATTTTACGCTTAATGTGCAGCCAACTCTGATTTGTTTCACTTCAAGGAAACAAACTGCTTGTCTCCGTCTGTGGAGAAGCCCTTGGAACCTCCCCCCACCCCCGCATTCTTTTCCAGATGCCTTTGGTGCAAAGCATTCCTTCGGTTGCTTGGATTTAACCAACCTAGGATCGTGACTGGGCGATTCCCACAAAATGATAAAATGATGGTGTGTGAGAGATGAAGGCTTAAATGGGACATTGGTTGTCTTGGTTGAGCTGGGATTTGAAAGGCCACAAGGCCCATAATCAGAAAATACAAGACTTGCGAGAGGATTTGGAGATCATTTAGTCCAACCCCTGTCTATTGCAGGATTCCAGCACTGAAGTCTCCCTGACAATGTCCATCCAGCTTCATGTTTCCTAGCCAAATGCAGGACTTTCCATCTGTCTCTGTTAAAATCGATCTTGAAGATTGTGGTCTGATGTTCTTATAAAAGTTGATGCTGCCCCTCTGGTCATCTGCAGATTTGATTACCGGATTGTCTTAAATCCTCCCCCACGTCCTCTTCCTTTTCTCTGGAGGATGCCTTCCCCATGGAGACATCCCAGCTCTTCTTTAAGCTTATCAAAACACTCCTGTTGCACCAGAAGTTGGATGTGAACTTCTGGCACAGCAAAAAGTTGACATCGTTTCTTATACAGGTAGTCTTCAACTTACGACCACAATCAAGAAATTCGTTAAATGATTTTTGGCCCATTTTACAACTTTTCTTGCCACATTTGTTAAGGGACTCACTGCAGTTGTTAAGTTAGTCACCCGGTTGTTAAGTGAATCTGGCTTTCCCATTGATTTTTCTTGTCAGAAAGTTGCAAAAGGTCACAAAAGGGAATCATCACATGACCCCGGGACATGCAACTGTCATAAATATGAATCACTTGTGAAGCATCTGAATGTAAATCATATGATGCTGCAAAGTGTGAAAAATGGTTACTTTTTCCACTGCTGTTGTAACTTCAAAAAGTCACTAAATCAGTGTTTCTCAACCTTGGTAACTTGATTCTGGGAGTTGAAGTCCACCCATCTTCAAGCTTCCAAGGTTGAGAAACACTGCACTAAATGAACTGCTGATAAGTCGAGAAGTACCTGTATTAAACTCTTGCAGTCCAATTCCAAGCAGTTAATTCCCCCACCCCAACAGAAATTTGTGTTCCTCCTTTAATGTTGTTTTTTCGCATAGGAGCCAGAGGACTGAGTGGCTAGTTTAATTAGTAGCCTAATTCATGCAGTTAGTCCTTCTGAACCATAAACTCTGGATTACAAAGAACCCATGATGCTGTGCCCAAAGCAAAGCACACTGCATTCATTACATCTTAGCAGGGCTCTCCACCTACTGGCATGGTCCAAAGGCCTTCCTGCCAGTGCTCCCAGATGGACAAAATCTTGGTGTCTCATTTGAGAGGTGGAGGACTAAAAGGGAACATTTTTTGCCCAGGGGAATTCTTGCCTACTCTTTCCCAATTTCGACCAATGCTAACCACTCACTCTGCATGTTTTGCAAGTTGTCCCCCCACATTCTTTGGAACCCCAAGGGAGAGAATTGCGGGCAGCCAGCCTGTTGCAGCTCATGAGCAGAACAGAAAGAAGCATCTCTGGTACTGGGCATGACGTGGCAATCTGCATGTTGCATGGCGGACAGGTAGCCAACTATTTTAAGAAACCATGATGGCTTATGACAGAAGGGCACTGTTTTATTGATAAACGAGAGCTGGGAAAACCAGGAGTCTCATGCAGCTGAATGGCTAGAAACCTAACAAATATATGGTGGTGTTTGGGGTCATCGGATTTCTTGGCTGTCACTCAAGACAGGTACATAGCCAGGAGCAGGATCATAACCATGTGACTGATCTCAGGGTCTGGACTCACCTGCCGCTCAGCCTCTGCCCATGTACAGAACGCTAGTAAAGGACAGGCTCCTCCCAGCGAGAAAAGCCAGACTAATGTAGGACTCGGGCTGGACCAGAGCTCCGCCATCTGCGACATAGAACAGGAAAAGAGAAGTCGGAATGGATGTCACCCCCAGCCCAAGCAGGACAAACCCCAGCTGGAGAGGCAGGCATGTTGGGCAGCTTTGCCATCCACAGGGCTGGTCCTGGGGAGTAGCCACGGAGGGCCCGCAGCCCCAGACAGCCGAAGATTGGGAGACTGGAGAAAAAGAACGGCATGGGTGCCCCCTGCTGCTGGAAGCCAGAAGCACAGGCCATATGGCAGTGTTTCTCAACCTTGGAAGCTTGAAGATGGGTGGACTTCAACTCAAGAGCCTTGGTAGTACAGTGGTCTAAAGCATCCTGTTATTAACACAGCTGCCTGCAATTACTGCAGGTTGGAATCTCTCCAAGGCTCAAGGTTGACTCAGCCTTCCATCCTTTCTAAGGTAGGTTAAATGAGGACCCAGTTTGTGGGGGCAATAAGCTGACTTTGTATAAATATACAAAAGAATGAAGGCTATTGCTTAACGCATTGTAAGCCACCCTGAGTCTCCGGAGAAGGGCAGCATATAAACCAAATTAAAAAAAAACAACAACTCCCAGAATCCCCCAGCCAGTGCTCTTGCGCCCCCCCCTCCAAGAGCCTCAGTGACTTTAACTAGATCCACTTCCCCGCTCTTCATTTCTTAATCATGGTCTGACACTTTAGGGGACACCCTCTCTACCTGGAAACAAATCCCCAAATATGTGTCTCCAAATTCCAATGGAAATGGATATAGTTTGCTGCGTCAGGAAGCTTTCTGACACATCCAATTCTATTCTCCTAAAGAAATGCAGTTATCGTACTTTCCCTAAGCCGGTGCTTCTCAACCCTGGCAACTTGAAGAGGTATGGACCCCAGCTCCCAGAATCCCCAGCCAATTCCTAATTCTGGGAGTTGAAATCCATGCCTTTTCAAGTTGCCAAGGTTGAGAAACACCGGCCTAAGCCAATATTCAGGCAAAACCCCCCAAAACCCTTGCGTTGCAGGTCAGGTGTTTTTCTCAGCATTAATGCACATTTTTCAGAAGTCTGCCATGGCTCCCTTCTGTATTGTCTGCACACTGGATTACACCTATCAGGGATGAGTCTGCTCTTGGCCACTCAACCAGAGAATTGCAGGAGACGCTCAACACTCTGCTTGGCAAGAATGGTCCAAGAATCCTGGTATGCCACGTCTTTGGGTATCAGTCCTGCTGCCCACACCTCCTCCCCATTGTGGAAAGCACCTCATAAATGCAAGCAAGGAAAGAGATGCAGCAGGGGAAATTTTGCTACACTGAAGGGTTTGTGGAGCCAGTATCAAGATAGGTGAGCCCACCCTGTTCCTCCACAGCCATCCAAGAAACTCCCTGGGTGCCTTCAGGCTAGTCACTCTCTCTCAGGCCAGCCCACATCCCAGGGTGGAGGTAGAATAAAATGGAGATCCTCTCAGAAGACACTCTGATCTCAAATATTTGACAGAAATCAGATACACTTTAAGAATAAAACTGACTGAAAGGGCCTGCTCCTCCCTGCAAGGCAGAAGCAGTGAAAATGGGCAAAGTAAATTGAGGTGCATGTGAATAATACTGGATAATGTAAGTCATATTTGCTTTGATTAGGAAAAGAAAACTGGAACACAGCGCAGATGGGTCAGCCCCTCCCCCCTAAGAACCTAAAGGTTGTACTATTAGATGTCATTCCAAGCTATTCTTTATGACAAGGGTGATTTCTGGTAAATTTACAAAATTTTGTAGATGTACAAAACTATAGGCATGGACAGTAACAGCTAAATGGATCCGGAGTGGAATCTGAATACCTTGCAGAACAATTTACACAAAGCAAAAGCATATTTTCTGCAGTTTTACCTTAGGCTGAAAAATGCATTCTGTTTTCCTCCAGCCCAACCTGAAGGGATTGTGAACACTCTCTCGGGCTCTGTCCAACCTTCTTTATTGGAAGCAACTGGATAGTCAGGATCCAGCTTTTGCTGCTCTTGGTAACCGAATATTGAAGCAAAAGCATTCAAAGGCTAGTGAGAGAGCAGGGGGGCCACACAGCTGCCGCAACAAGAGGCTGCAGGGGCACTGAGCTACTCCATCGGGTGGGGGATGCCAGTTATTGAAGGTAGAGAGTGAAGCACAGAATCTCACATCCACTTTCATCCATGCAGAACTCCCTTTTTCAGCTTGAACAAAAGAGGTGATCCACCATGAGCATTTTCTCACTACTTCTGAGGTCTTATTTTTCTTCGTTCTTTTTTTTTTTTTTTGCTGACAACTGCAATGTGCAAGGCTGTTCGCAGCCATGAAACAAAAGGATTAGTACAAAGGCAGTATGAAATGGTATGCACAAAGTTCAATTCAACATAGTTTTATTTTAACAAGGAGGCAAAACAAGAATTTGCTAAGAATTTGCTCTGCTAAGCAAGAACTGCACCCGTCCCACAAAATGAACTCACAGAGGGGAAAGTAGGGGAGCCAAAGGAAGCACGGCAAAGCCAGATTCCTGGGGGAATAATTTCTCCTCACAGCAATCAGAATCTCTCTTGTGGGCTTGGGAGTAAGAATGCTATATCTACCAAGCATCTTTTAAGCACTGCAGATTTAAAGCTGAAAAGAATGACAAGCCAATTGTCAGCAAGTGACCATGGCCACCACACAAGTAAATCAAAACTGCTTTATAAAAAAGATTAATATAATAAGAATTCTCATTTTATTCATGCTACAGGCTTTTTTTAATCTACTATATTCAGAAGTTTCTTATAAAACTGATCCTGAAAATGTGTTCAGTTTGACATTGGGAAGGAAAAGAAGTATGAAAGGAGTCTGGATGAACAAATGAAGATGCTAACATCATTCAAGAAGAGATCTGTAATTGGATGGAAGGAGGAAAATGAATTTCCCCACTGCGCCATGCTGTCTTTAAAATTTCAGCAGAAAAGGGGGGAGGGGGGGAAAACCTTTAAAAGATATAGTTCTAAATTCAGTTGGGGGAAAATTCCTGTAAATTAAAAACGCTACAGAGTTTGGTCCCAATACTTTCTATTCAGATGTTTATTCTTCCCCCAACTCTATTCATTATATGTATATATTCATGAAGACCTTTCTGAAATTAACCATTTAAGGGCATATTGTCAATATATATGTAAATGCTTAAAATAAAGGATTTTTTTAAAAAAATCCACAAACAGGAAAAAGGAAAACAAAAGAGCAAGACATTACTCATCTCTATCACCACATTTAAAAAAGACAGAAATGATTGCCAAAAATAGTGGGCACAACTCTACCGTCCTCCAGGGTCACTGAGAAACCAAAGAGCAGGAAAACATTCAACTAGCCAATCAGAATCAAAGACAACCCCCCACCTCCCGTCCTCGTGTCACCAGCGGCTCCTACTCTGCCACGGGTGGGAGGACATCCTTGTCTTCCCTGTTCTCCGGCCCGCTCTCGTCGTCCTCTATCTCGCCCTCTTCGCCACTGAACTTGTCGTGAGCCCACTTGGGGCTGGTGCTTGACTTGCGATACAGGAACCGTCCCCGGCCTCGGGGGAAGAGGCCTCGGCCCCGGCCCCGGTTCGCCCACTTCTCGCCACCTTCGCCCTCTCGGTCATCGTGCTGAAGGAGAAAAGGGAGTCAGCTGGTAAGCTCTAGCCACTGAAACCCACACTCCCCATGCTTCCTCAGCCCCTGACGCAAATGGGAGCCTGGCTTTGGCCGGGGTGGGGCTCAATCGTAACCAGGAAAGTTCTGCCCGAAGGGTCAGGATCGCCCAGCCCCACCCAACGGGAGGAGGCGCTCACGCACCAAATAGTACTTCTTGCTCTTGGGTGTGTATTCGGGGTCCCAATCCTCCTCCCGGTTTCGCTTCTGGAAGTCAGCGCTGGTGCCGCTGTTGTTGGTGTTGGTGTTGCCGGAAAAGGTACCCCTTCCCCAGCCACGGCCTCTGGCCCGGAACTGCTGCTAAAGAGGAGGAGGCAGAGCAGGGCTAAGTCTGAAGCCCCTTCTCTGTCAATTTGTTCTGGGATGGGGGGGGGGGGAATTACTCAAATGGGAAAGGAAAAGGGAAACCTAAATGGAGGGGTTTTCTTTGCCTCTGGAAATGACTTCAAGACAACTGGAAGTCACAGGCTGCTTTGATTTGTTTCAACTTTTAAAAAATCACTCTGGAGAGATCTGTCCGTGTTTATGCTCCACCAGAGTTTGGAAATATTGAGATATATTATTTTCAAGCAGGGGCCTAAAGAGCTCAAAGCAGAAGACTATCTTAAGTCACAGAATGAGACACCTTTAGGACCAAGGATCACATTTGGCCATGAGCACTAGAAAGCAGGCTGGGCCAGGATAAAATCTAGATTAATTCAATTAAAATTAATTAGTGGCAGCTAATAAGATAATTCTCAGAATTTAATAGTTTTTCTCCTTTCGTCCAACTAAGCAGTCCACTTTGGTGATAATTTCTAGAGGGGCTTTGCAGGGCACAGGAGATGTATACCCTTAAAGGACACTCACAAATGTTCCTCGGGCTCTGCCCCGGTCGCTCGGGCCGGCAAACTCCTTGGTGCCAAGGCGGGATTTGTCAAAGCCGGAGGCAGGGGCCTCCTCCCGTTCCTCAGTTTCCTCAGGATACTCCTCTGCTTTATAGGAGCGTGAAGACTGTGAGGACGAAGAGCTTGACCTCGATCTCTCCCGGACACGTCGGTGCTTCCTGGGACACCAAAGACACAGAAGAGCTGGCTCGAAGCAGAATCACAGAGACTCAGTAATCCCTTTACTTGTTAGGGGGAGAAACTACCTTAAAAATGAGTCAGGGCCTGCACTGCCCTTTGTCTTATGGAAAACTGAAACCTAGGACAGCCGTCCCCAACCTTTCTGACTCTGTGGACCAGCAAAAAAAAAAAAAGGGGGGGGGGAGAGAGAGGATGGTTTCACACATGCACCCACCACTTACACAAATGGAGCTCTACCCCGGATCGGGGTAGAGAGGGCATACCTGGGCAGCCACAGCCAACAAATGATACAAAGCTAAGTAGCTGCCTTGGTCCCACTCTCTCCCCAAGGGAAAGATCTAATTCCTGAAAACAAAATTACCACTCAGTCAATCCTTTTCTTTCTATAGCAGCCAGAATAAATTTACAGGTGCAAATGCCTTTACTGACTGCACTCCATAAACAAAAGGGGCAATAATTAGGTCTCAGATTTTCCCCGTTTTAAGAGCAAGAATGGCATTTGTTTAATCCCAATCTTGGGGAATCTGAGCAAAAACACTGGGCATCTCTCTTCTTTGTCAACATTTTATTTTTATAGCTATGAAATGGAAGGAACTGTCTGTACTGCTAATTAATTAAACCTGTATGTCATTAGGCTCCCAGTGAACAATCAATGTAAACCAGGGTACGGCTGCTTTAGCACAGTCCAGGTATCACCAGAGAGTCCCACAGGCCTAGTTTCTCTTGAAAGCAGCTCTTCAAACGCTAAACTCAATTTCTGCAGGACTGCAAAGCTGACTTCAGTGAAGCACTGTTGAAGTAAAAATGGCACATATATTGTGCAAGGTAACTTGTTACTTTGTCTTCTTATATATCCTTCAATATCCAAGTTTTTTTTTTTTTTAAAAAAGAGGGATTCATTTTAACAGGGACGAGGGAAAGTAAGAACATTCTCAGTATACCTCCATGGTAAAGGGGGTCTGAGTAGGCAAAAAGTCTGCACAAGGCCAAATTTGATCGATCTCCCCAGGCCCTGGAGCAGCACGTGAACTGCTCCAGCCTCTTGGCACTTTGGAGCAGGGGACTTAGATCTCATGAATCCTGGCAACTTGACAGAGCCTCATCCTCCACGCTTAATGGGGAATAAAACCAAATCACAAATGTTGAGGTTACTTTTGACATTCTGGTGCCTTGAAACTAGTAATTAAAATTATTCCTAAAAAACAGCCTCCCCAGAAAACAAAGTGTGCCCCTCCCTGCTTGCATGAGGTGGCAGCTGGATCTGATGAATATGCAGTAAAGGGGCATCGGATTGTTCAATGTTCCTCTTGAATGAGAAATTCTGGAAATTCAGCTCTACACATCTTGAGGACATGCAGGCTGGGAAAGACTCTCCTCATTGCTAACACTGGGGGGCAGGGGGGTTCTGCAAGCCGTGGAACCATTTCAATTAAAAGGAAATAATAATGGGGGGGAGAGGAATACGTGCTCCCCTCTAACTTACTTCTTTTTGGAGCCTTTGTGAGGCCTCTCTGTTTTCTCTGCTGATCGTTCTCTTGAATGACTGGAAGGCCTGGATTCCACAGATTCTCTCGACTTTCCTCGCTTATCTTTCTCCTTATGTTTTTTACGTCTTTCAATGTCAAGGCGCAGGTCAACTGGATCATCTTTGTATTTGTTCTCAGCCTGGAAGAAGAAAAACAGTAAGGAAAAGGATTTTAAACTGAGCCTTTAGCAGCTTCTTCACAGATGCAGCGTTGATCTTATTTAGGACAGGAACCACCAAGGACATCACACACATTATGTTGCTGTTGCAAACAAATTGTCTGAAAACAGGGAAACTCTCCCACTCTTTCTGCACTCATTTCTCTCCCAGCCAGAGTACAGAAGGGTCTTGGCCAAGTTATTAAACCAGGTAAAGTGAGAGAGAAACTCAGCCAAAGCCAAGACCTTTCTGTGCAACTTCAAGGGCCACCACCACTAAATAAAACCAAAAGCTATCACTTCTATTTGGGGCAGGGAAAAAATACTGGTCATGTGCTGCCAGAAATTGACTTAAAAATCATAGAATCCCCCTCTTCCTAAAACAGGATTCCTTCCCCAAAAATGGGAAGCCTGGCTGTGGATACTGAGAGAAAATGAGAAAGGGAAGCATCCAGCTGCAATTCAGCCTCAGAAGCTTTGCAGAAAAGTTTCACCCTGGATCAATTTATATGTAGGAGTAACCCAGGAGATCCATGCTTTTGTCCAGTCTCCCTCCAACACTTATGCATTTTGAAGACTCTTGCTAAGAATCACCACTTAAGCTTAGATTTGTGCACTGCAAACACATCAAGCACACATACACAAAAACAGGCCTGAAAAAACTTCTGTTGATGGAAACCAAATGAAGGAGAAAGCAGTTTGGGCCCAGGAGACAAAGTCTGGTGCCTGGGCCTTTTGCATAGCTTCATCTGCCCAAAGGAACCCTAGATTCTGCTTCAACTGCTCAGCAATGGACTAAGTTTCTCTTCCCTTTCCTCGCTTCCTTCTTGCTCCTTGCCAAACCTATTATTTGCTATTGGAAATATGACTTCTTTGAAACATTGAACTTTGAAAGTACAATAAATGTGCAACTAATTGCTGCTTCTGAATTATTGTCATGTTTATTTAGCACCTGCATAATGGAACTGCAGATAACCATCACATATCCTTGGGAGATTGAGATTTTCTCCAGAGCAGAAAAGGAGAAAAGAATAAGCAGGAATCAGAGAAAATACTGTAGTCGGAAAACTAAATTTTATGTCAAAGCCGAGCCTTCATAGGAAGCACTGCAATTATCCATCCAAGAAATCATTTTAGATCTGTACAAGTCTTGCTGCTTATTATTGAAACAGTTGATCCACGCAGAGCCTTGACCCAATTCAACAGCTTCCAGTCTGGCACAAGGCAAGACCGCACAATAACAGGTCAAAGAAGAGTTCCCTTAACCCCAACGAGAAGCATTAGCAGCTCTCTGTTAAAGCAGTACTTACACAAGTCTATAGTACCCTTCCCAGTAAAAATATAGGATAGCCCCATTAGAGCAGAAATTGGCACTTGTTCTTAGGAGAATTTTTTATTTTTTTTTTATTTTTGCACTTGTGCATTCCACAGGTGAAGAGTAACCCTTTGCAGTTCAGAAGACAAAGACGACTTTATCACCACAGTGGAAACTGGTTTGTCACCAAGTATCACCATCCAAACCCGGAGATGTAGCCATTATTCAATGCATTCCATTCCTCACAGAGCTAAGCAGTTCTTGTTTGCAAATCAGAAGAATGTCCCTATTCATGTGTCCACATGCACATAACATAACTTTGCGTTCACCATCGGGGCTCATCTATTGTCTTTCAGAAGCGACAGGGGTTTTGATAAAACAGAGAACACAGGCATGATAGGAAAGTAAACAGTTTCATAGCATTGTTAAAATACTTTAAAACAAACTTGCATGAAGGTGAAGAGACAATGCTTAAAGATGAAATACTTCTGTTTAAAAACTATAAATAATAATATTAAAATAAAGGGCCTACTGAAATGTCACTGTGCATATCTAAAAGGCTTCCATTTTCAACAGCATTTTAAAATAAATGAATAGAATTCAACAGGAAATGACACATTAGCAAAAATGTTCTTTGATTTGGCTTATTTACAATTTGATTTAATTTCCTCTTTCTGACATGCATGTCTTTTTGAAAACATGGTTGGAAAATATCACGGGTAAGACAAGTGATTTAGTTATACTTACAAGCATCAAAATATCACAAAAAGTCTCTTCCATCATCAAGGTCACTTGTTTCCAAAAATCCACTTTTTGTCTCAAGCTCAACCTCAATTGACTTTGTGGTCATTTACCATATTTCTAACCACTTCACAAAGGTTGTTGATACATTTTTTTAATAAAAATTAACCCTTTGTAGTTCATTTTTAGAATTATGCCCATCCTTGAAAGAAAAACACAAACTTAAGTAGAGAGCAAGTTAAATTAAAAAAAAATCACTTTTTTTAAAAAACCCAAAGTTCATGCCCAAAGCACACAGATGAACCCAAATCAAAAGCATCCGTTTACCTTGTAGCTTGCTTCTTTGGAACTTTTGATCTCCTCTTGTGAGAATCCATGTTTTCTAAAAGAACTTGGAGAAATGTCTATCCTCCTAAACACAGAAAGGCAAGCCACGATTAAGAGACACCCTTTTTTTTTTTTTGGTCTTTTTTGATGATCAGATTATGAACAAACCTGGTCAGTTTCACCCTCTTACTAATGTTTTGGGGGATTTTAAGACTGGGAGTAAAGTCATCTCAGAGGTAAACAACTCTCATCCCACTCTTAAAAGGCGGAGATTGCTTTCTTCAGACTATTTTTCAGCAGTTGTAAGGAAATTGCCTGTCTCTATCTTATCTGCAATAGCTCTACAGGAAGTTGGGAGGCTGTTTAGTTTTAATTACTTGATTTTCAGTGTGTATTCCTTTGATTTTAACTTCATTTTCATTAAGATCGCTATGTTGGGTTTTTGGTGGGAGGGAGTCCTTATTTCTTTTCCCACTGCTAGGGTTGTGCCCTGATGCATATCCCCGAATGGTTTACAATGGTTAAAAACAATACAACGAAGAGAATAAAAATGACTTCTTCACCAGAGGAAGAAACTACCACAAACAGCACAATTCTGTCACCACCTGTGTTCTGGAACAGCAGCCCTCCAAGGTGTCTCAGCCCTGGCTGCGCTCAAAACAGCTCTGAAAAGTTGGCTTCAGCCTTGGGATCCTGCACGTTTGTCTTTTAATGGCTGTTTTTATTTTAACAACAAATGGATTTTTAAAATAGTATGGTATCCCTTTTAAAATAGTATGCTTACCATGCAACCACCGGCACTCATTGTACGGGTGGACAGTTTTATGAGTGAAGGGTTCACCCCTGAGTTATAAATACTCTCCTTTACTGGTAGCTTTATAGTTTGTAAAAGAAAAAACCCTCTGCCCAATGCCTGTGGAATGAGTCAGGTCTTTTAAAGGCAGGCAGGGTCAGGGATGGGCTGTTCCAAAAGGCAGGCAAAACCACACAGGAGGCTCTGCAGCCCAGCAGACACCATCGTTGGATGGATGCGAAGCAATGCAGGCCAGCCTTATTGGACAGGCAGGCACAATTGCAGATAGGAGGACCTGCAGATGGCCAAGCTCTACACCATGTAGGCTTACAGATGACGACTAGTACCATCAACTGCACCTGGAAGCCCACCAAGGGAAGCCCCTTGAGAAAGAGCGACACCACATGGACGTAGCAGGTAGGACCGTAACTGCTTTGGCCACCACATTTTGGACCAATTGTAGCCTCCGAGTAGTCTTCAATGGCAGCTCTCTGTAAAGTGCACTAGAGTAGTCCTTGACGTACAACCACAATTAAGCCCAACACTTCCATTGCTAAGTGAGACAGTTAAGTGAATCACTGCAGTTGGTAAGTTAGTGACATGTTTGTTGAGTGAATCTGGCTTTCCCATGAACTTTGCTTGCTAGAAAGTTGCAAAATGTGATCACATCATCCCAGGATATTGCAAACCATCATAAATATGAGTCAATTTTCAAGCATCTGAATTTAAATCACGTCACCATGGGATGCTGCAATGGTTGTAAATGTGTTGAGGACTACCTGTAATCCACACACAAGACTATAAACAGAGCCACGTAACCCAAGAAAGGGATGAATCTGGGCAAAAGCTTTCTTGGTCACATCTGCTACCACTCCTTGAGCAAGAGCGGAGTCCATTCCCCCTTCCCTCCTTCCCCAAAACTATGCACTAGACCCATCTGGGAAACTGCAGCTGACCAACAGCTACAGCTGATCAATCTCTGGAACTGGATGGTCTACAGCCACTGAGTCTTGCTGGAGTGAATTTCAGCTTTATAACATGACGTTTGGCTGACTGAACCGCCTGGCATCTTGTAACAGATGGGTACAAATGATTGTAATAAATAAATAAGCTTGTATAACGCTACCTAACCCTGGATGATATGCCACCTTTTGGGACCCTGATTGTGAGACCCCTCATGGCCTTGGAGAAGCTGCCATTGCTAATCCTGGGATAAGGCAAAGATATGTTGAGAGATAAATGTTGTGCATTCTCTTGAAACACTGCAAAGTTATAAACCACAGCATGGAACAATCTAACAGAATTTGGCTTCCTTGAAGTCTCTGTTTGCTTTTGGTCCTTAGCATTGAGGAAACATGTCTTAATTTATGGGAATGCTATTCATCCTGCTAAATGTTCAGGAAATTCAATAAAGTTTCAGCACTCATACCTTTTTTGGCCAATTATTAATATTTTTGCACAGAATCTGTGGCCATAGTGATAAGAGTTTTAACCTGTGAGATGTTGGGGCTGGGGGAAGCAGGTCAGGACAAGCAGGTAAAAATTCATCTGCCCATACATGCGTAATCTTTCCCCCCACATGCTCCTTCAATCAAGCAGTGCTTGGTCCTGATCAGCTGCCTAACACCAAGCAGTCAACTGACAGGTTGATTTTGCTGTGCAAGGACCACAAAGGCTTTCAAAGCCTTCATGATTTTCAGCTATAAAGTAAAATCAAATACTAGGCATAGAACGTCTCCTGCATAAATTTTGTTTTAGAAATTATTTCAAAAGAGAAGAGAATTTCAGATCATTTTTCATAGGGTGCGTTTGGGCTTCTTTCAGTTATGAGGTTGCTGAAAGTAATATATGAATGTGGAGTACTGTATACATGGTCCCCTCTCCAGCAGTCTGCGGATTCCCCGGTTTCCCATGATTTCCCAATCCTTTTCCTTTCTCTGTAAAAATCCAGGGAAATTGTACACCCAGCCCTGCATCTTTTAAAAGACCATTTGGGTCTTTTAAAAGACCATTTGGGTCTTTTAAAGACCATTTGGGTCTCTATTGCAAGCCTTAAAACCCTGCAATCTCTCTTCCTGTGTGTGTCCCATGCTAAGGCTCCCTCGGTTCTCCCACTTGAGCCTACTCTGCTTTCATGCCAAGTTCCACTCACCTGTGGATTTCAGGGCTTTTGCTCTTAGCCGACTCCTGCTCTGCCCGCTTGAGGTATTTTGTAAAGCGTTCATTCAACGTCATTCCTGAAGACCCAAAGTGATGCTCTGTTGGTTTGCGATGAGGAAACACCATATTGTTAATATTGTATATAGACTTTAGGACAAGATAAAAGTGGGCTCTGCAACAGATTCAAGAAGCAAACAGTAGAGAAGTGAAGAGGGGGGTGAAGAGAGAAAGAAGAGAGGATCCACCTCACTGCTTAGATGTATAAAAGTCTTTTAACTGGAAGCTCCTCCTGGCACTAAAGTCACCTGATGCTACTAAGCGTGATGTGGAGCAGGAGCCTCCTGAAAAATAAGGAGCGTTCTATGCCACTCTTCACTTTCGCAACTATCCTGCTCCTAGACTTTTTATTCCAGACCCTGAATTTCAGACATTTTAATCCATTTTTTTTCACTGCTTAGGTAGAAGCAGACAAAGAAGTGGAAAGAACAGAAAGCAGACAATAATGCTAAGCCATATCTGGAGAATTGTTTTCTTTCTCTTGGCTCAGAGAAGGCCAGCTATTCCATGGGGCTACAGTCCAGTAACTAGACTGCTCAAAAAAATAAAGGGAACACAAGCAGAAGACATCCGAGATCTGAATGAATGAAATAGCCTTATTAAATACTTTGTTCTTTACATACAGTAGTTTTGTGTTCCCTTTAGTTGTTTGAGCAGTGTATAAACTACTGTATGTAAAGAACAAAGTATTTAATAAGGCTATTTCATTCATTCAGATCTCGGATGTCTTCTGCTTGTGTTCCCTTTATTTTTTTGAGCAGTATATTTTCTCCAGTCTCATCTGTCTCTCTGGGTCATATATGTGTGTGTATGTGGGTCTATGTATAATGGTTGTCTTTTGAGAGCTGAATGCAAAGAAATTTCATGTTAATGTATGCTGATTGTACATTTAAAGTAACAACAAAGTTCTGTTCTATTCTATTCTATTCCATTCCCCTATGAATTATTGTGTTTCCTGATAAGGTTGCTGCAATTCAATAGCAAGGCTTCAGAATCCTACAATGTGCATCTTCAGGGCTACACACGTTCTCAGTCACCAATCTTCTCCTTGTGACAATGTTGTTACCATTTGTTCACAAAGGTCCTGCACAATAACTCATGTCTAGAGAGGTGAAGCTGTTTAGTTCTGGGCTAGGCACGTTCACTGTATCTGTCAGTACCACACAGCCATTGCATAGGTCCTTTAGGTCCAGATTCAATACATGTTCCCAATTTGAATGTTTTTTCCTATTGGCTCAACACTAGTAGGAATTTTCTTTGGGGCTGACTTTGAAGATTATTGGGAAAGTTCAATTAGCACAAAAGGTGGTTGCCTACAGCTGGCAGATGAGTAACACTGGTTTTACAGATGCTGTATTGGCTTCCTCTAGGTTTATGGGTACCATTCAAAATACTAGTTTTAACTTGTGAGCTTTTACAGCTTCATTCCCAGATATTTCCCATCTCTTTCAAACAGAACTGTACCATTCCATGTGCTCATCTCAGCATGATGCATAAAGCTTCCTCCTCTGAGACTGGGATGTCGGGCCAGCAACCCCTGACTGCGGACTTTCTCTTCAAAACAGCCTCCACACAGTTTATAACACCCTAAAGTACTGCTGTGATTTCTATCTGAAATACTGATATATGAAAACCGTAAATATATAAATAATTTGCAACAATCAGGAATAAATAAAATGATTTGGGTTAATTTATTTCTGTTTGACTCATCTTAGAAGAAGAACTAAATAGAAGTTCAACTGAATCAAAATCAGCTAAGAGATAAAATGAAGAAATTGTTCCAGAATCTTTCAAAAACAATTCCTATAAAATAATATAGGAATGAATCATAGGGCTGGAAGGGACCTTGGAGGTCCTCTAGTCCAACCCACTGCCCAAGGCAGTTATCAATCCAATCTCCTGCACGTTGCAGAATTCACTACATCTTCCCTATGGAAGAATTTCCCCATTTGCTCTACTGAAAAGAAACAGAGAACTGTGCACCAATTTCTGAGAAAGCAGCAGTGCCAGGATGGCCTACAAAGTCCAGGGAACTCACCTTTCACGTGATGGACAATGGTCACTATGTGCTGAGCAAAGAGCTCTGAGGGACTTCGCTGAGACTGGGCCGACTGGATGTGATGGAAAATGGAACGGAACTCCTGTTCCTTTTTATTGCTGTGCACCAAATCACGACATAACTTGCGCTCCTGTGCCAAAATCCCACTTGGGCTGTAAAGACATACGCAAAAAATCATGTAAGAATGGTTACAGCTGCCACAGAAGGCCACTTCCAGGCTGGAAATCACAGCGATGTAAAATGTGGCACTCTAAAAGTCAAGAGATTATGGTATACCCACCTTCTGAGGATTATTCTTCTGGTATTATTTCTCCAAATCCAGATCCACACTAATATCATTTTTCTCACTGTAGCCCAGCTTCAAGAAGAGAGGAATGGGAAATTTGTCCCTAAGAGCTGTGAAATGAAAGCCATTCCCATTCCTCTCTTCTTGAAGCTGGGGCTACAGTGAGAAAAAAGATATTAGTGTGGATCTAATATCCATAGTAAGCCACAAGCAATGTTTCAGTAAGCAAGAAACACAGTGTTGCTTTAGTATAAAAAGGCAAGTTAAGCAGTCATTATGTGAAGAAAGGAATCCAGAGTGGGTGGGTGTAATCATAACATCAGTTCTTCACTATGATGCTGGATGACAGTCAGAATTGATCTCATTGGAAACTGCTGAATAAGGATCAGGATTAGCAGAGGTCCTGCAACAAATATATTAATTCATGTGTACAACGTATTTTCTCTTCTCTCCCCCACTCCACTAATGTGCATGCTACTTTTCAGACTGGCAAGCTTTGAGACAAAAATGCTGGGCACCATGTACTGTCTAAATACAGGCTTATAAAGGGCTTTTGATCATGCTTAATAAATGAGATTTGAGGCTTTGTTTTCACTGGCCAAGAGAAGAATGAGACTTCTATACCGCTATTAGCATAACTGCATCTGAGTTAACCTGGATTAAAAACAGCATTAATTAGGGTCAGATTTCAGGCGAGACCTAATAAGCATTGGTTCTATTTTTATAGACATGCGTAATTTATCTATAATTACACTAAGAGTGGTTTTGTGCACGAGTCTGGAACTCTGAGTGTGTGAGTGTATTAGTACTTAGTATTAGTACCACTTAATAAGACCACACTTGGAATCTTGCATCCAGTTTTGGCCACATTACAAAAAATATGTTGAGACTTTGGAAAAAGTGCAAAGACAACCAACTAAGACAATTAAAGGCCTGGAGACTAAAATATATGAAGAACAGTTTCAGGATTTGGGTTTAGTTAGTCTAGAGAAAAGAAGGACTAGGGGAGACAGTATTCCAGTATTTGAGGAGCTGCCCCAAAGAAGAGGGGATCAAATTATTTTCCAAAGCACCAGAGGGCAGGAGAAGAAACAATGGATGGAAATGAATCAAGGAGAGAAGCAATCTGGAATTAAGGAGAAACTTCCTGACAGTGAGAATAATCAACCAGTGGAATGGCTTCCCTCCAGAAGTTGTGGGTGCTCCATTGACCGAGGCTTTTAAGAAGAGACTGGACAGCCACTTCTCTGAAATGGTCTAGGGCAAGGATCTTCAAACTTGGCAAGTTTACGACTTGTGGACTTCAACTCCCAGAATTCCTGAGCTAACATGACTGGAGGAGGAGTTCTGGGAGTTGAAGTCCACAAGTCTTAAAGCTGTCAAGTTTGAAGACCCCTGGTCTAGGATCTCCTGCTCGAGTAGGGGGTTGGACTAGAAGACCTCCAAGGTTCCTTCCATTTCTATTCTGATTGATTGCTTGAAAGAGCCAATCTTCTGGCTGGGTTGATAACTTTGCATGACACCCAGCTCCAATGTGGGTTTTTTAACATTTCATGTATTTTATTGTAAGTCGACGAATGGCTATTTAAGTCAAATACATAAGATAATAATAGCCACTCTTATGGTGCTTCAGTGAGGATCTTTTTCAGTTTTCATTCTAAATAGACTGTAACCCAGGTCTGCACAACTTTTCCTCGGCTGAGGGTTACATTTTACTTTTGATTGTGTGCTAAAAAAGCCCCCATTTTTTGAGTTAACACTAAATGTTACCTAAATTATATTTAGTTCATACTTTTTTACGAAGCAACTGGCACCCATGTATTTTTAGCAGCAAGAGCAAGTACAGTGCTCTATAAATAGAAATTTGGGCTTATTTTTAAACAGCTCCTGATTTATTCTTTCTATTGAGAGAGGGAATAGAACAGGCATTCATATCTTCCCCAACCTCCCTTTTCCTTCTTTTCCTACAAAGCCAGACATGCTGAATGCCTCACCGAGCAAGATCCTCATCAAAGGAATCCATTCGAAGGTTGACCTGGGTTTCACGAGTAATGGAAAAGGAGGATTTGCCCGCGGCCAGGCCCTCTCCCCGCATGCTCGTCTTCTCTCTGCTCTCTGGGACCTTTCGGGGTGGGGGAGAAGTTGCCATTTTTTCCTGGCCTGCTTTGTAAGTGGTGACTCGGAAGTTCTTCTCTGGAACAAACCCTCGGTGCCCGGCTTCTCCTCTTTTGGCTGCCTGCCTCTCGTCTTTCTTGGAGGAGTCAGTATAGGACTCCTCTGCCATCTCTTCTGCTTTCCTCGGCTTCTCCTTGGCTGCAGGTAAATAAACCAGGCCTTCCCATTTGCCTGCCCGATCTTCGTCCTGGCTTTTGCTGGAAGCAGGCACTGTCTTCACAAACTTGGGCTCCTCATCCTCATCCTCATCAAAATTGGATTCCTTCCGTCCTTTGCCCTTGACTTTCTTTTCTGGCTCCTCTGCCTCCTCTTTGCCATAGTGGGCTTCCTTGTGGAATTCAGCCATTTTCTTTTCAAAATCATCTCGGACTTTATAGCGCTTTGGGGACTGATTCCCACGATACATCTTTTCTGTATCAGCTTTAGAGGCGTAAGGATCCAACTTTGTTTTACCATCGGCTAATCCCATCTCAGAAAAGCTTCCTTTCTCTTTCATTTTGTCCTTTTCTACATTCGACAATTTCTGCTCTTTGTCCTTCCCATTCTCAGCTTTTTGTTCTTCCAGGTACCTATGAGTAAAGAGAGGGGATATTTCAGGCAGTTATTCCTGGAAGATCTAATCAAGCCATCTGGAAAAGATCCTGTTGATGATGTGTGACCCATGTTTATTTAGCTTCTTTTGCATTGTTTAACACCTGAACCTGGGAACAAATACCTTAGCAACAGCAATAAAATGTCAATCTTTCTACAATCTTTTGCCACAGCTAGAAGGCAGAAAATATGTAAAAGATCTTACCCAACCTGTGTATTCATTTACAAACCTGTTTCTGAAGAATTAAACCATCAACATTTTCACTTTGGACTGCTGTGCTTTTAAGTAACACACAATGGAAATAAAAGGCTCAAAAGCTACTTCAAATATTTGAAGGCATGTCTCCTATGGAAGCTATAGACAATTCAAAACACAAATAAAGCAAAAAAGTTAATGGGGAAAATACTTAATTGGCTGGGAGGAAATGAACACTTATCAAGAATGGCAATGTTTAACTAGATCTGATGATTTAATCTGATACCAGTGATTATTGCATCTAGCTCTAAAAACAGTTTAATGTTCAATCAGAGGTGGAATTCAAAACAGCTCTAGCTGCAATACAACTATCCTTCCATACTAAATGGGCTTTTAAAAGGAATGTGTAAATTACCAAGATTATCAAATCAGCTAATATGTTTAACATCCGTATATTGATATGGATGTTTTCATAACATGGCGGTTATTTTTAAAACATGCAAGTAACATGCAAGTATACATCCTGCCCAAGGATGTATATCACAACTGTCGCTTTCATTATTTAATTTTTACTGGATGTACAAGTTGACTTTTGAACACACTTGCTAGAAGTGAAGCCCAAGAATGGATTCCAAAGGTCGACAAATATTGTGTGTGTTCTTTCAAATATCTTGCCAAATGCTTCTGAAAGCATACCAGAAAGGTTCTGCTCCAGAACAATGATTATAGCAGTGTTCTGAAATCTGATTTACACTACCTTATTTGCAATAATGGATGTTTGAAGAGGCAACAGTGTTAAAATTCTAAGCTGTACATTCAGAGATTCAACAGAGAAATTCAACACATTTCTACAATGTTTATAATACAAAAAAATCCAAAATAATATTTCTGCAGATTTCTGTTTAAATTGTGATCAATCTCCTACCTCCTGTCTCTAAAGACATTCCTATGTTATGCAATTTTTAACAACTCTTTTGTATCCATGTATCCTGGCTTACTTAGTTTAAACTATTTTAGAACTCTCTCAGAAAAGAAGAATAAGTTAAAGTTTAAAGAAGTTTAAAATATACCATTTAACATGGTAAACTGAGGGAATATATTCCTGCTATTCCCCATATTGTAAGCCATCAGTCTATTCAAATCGTACTCTACCTTGGATCACCAAATCTTGTGTTGCCACATAGCAACAAATAAATGATAGCTGTGAAAGCAACCCCAATGCAGCTCTAATAATATTCCAGTAATGTCTAAAAATCAGCTTTTCCTGATAAGAGTACAAAAATTTCCTCCCTGGACAGCAGAGGCCAGAATTAATGGCCACATAGTTGCATTGCACCATTTATCTTGTAAACTATTGCTTTGTGAACCTCTCAGAGTGTGCTATAAAGCACTATGGAGCAGTATATAAGTCTAAGTGCTACTGCTATTATCAATTTTTTTTTTAAAGTAAGCTATTGTTATAAGTTTAGGGGAAAAATACCTTCATGCAGGAGTCCCAATAATTAGTTAGTTAGCTCTGCCCTGCCATTCAATCCCCAATAATGAAAGGGGGAAATGGATGGGTGAATTCTTCCTAAATTTGCACTGCCCAGTGCAATTTGTGCCATTTCTCTTCAAGACTGAACCCTACTGGAGCACAGAGCCTTTTCACTGTAATACACATTAAGGATTTAAATCCTTCAGGAAAGCTCAACAAGCATCCTAATGAACTGCCTTCCATTCTTGGTTAAAAATCTGTCCAATTCTAAAAATAATAACAACTGAGAAGTGTGTGTTTAAAATTCATGTTTTTACATTTAAAATAAATACCCCTTTGGTGATATAGGGATGTTTTCTAGCTCTTTATTTTTCCCCAAATTCAGAATTCTAACTCTTAAGTTAAATACATAAGGCTGAACTTAGGCAAGCCTTGGGATTTATGTACCCTCCCTCTGGCACTGCTCCCAGATTCAGAAGCTTTTGCTTCTCTTTTCAATTAGCGGTGCTTTGCTTCCTAATGTCTGAAAAAATATGGCTACTTTTACAGGCATTAGGATTAGTGGCAGTAAACATCAGGTTATAGTTCATAAGATAATTTGGATTCCCCTAGCCACTCTCATCCATGATTTGTATTGGATAAAGCCACAAACTGGGGTTTAATCTAAAACAGAAGTTTAGTGTTTAGTGTCACCAAGACAGGAATACAGAAAATACAAGCCTGAAGTTTCTTCTACAGCCTACCTAACATTAAAGCACAGGTGACTGGTCCATTTCAATTAGTGTGAACAATGCCACTGGCTGGGTTTCACAAAAAGCATGGATTTCAGGCTCCACTGTTCACAATTTCCATTCTAACAATTCATTTCAAGCTTGTTAGCTCACTCAGGCAAAGACCAAATTCCAATTGCAAGCTGGTTTTTTGCTAAGTATAGTGTAATAAAAATTCCATTCATGTGGACAGAACAGGGAATTGGTTAATTTAAACAAAGTTTTACAAGGACACCCAGGCTCTGTTATGCGGGACTATTTCAGACAGTTCTGGAAAATGCATGAAAAAGGTGAATTCTGGAATGAATCCAATCCTAAATCAAAACTGCATTTAACTTCTTGGACGGCCATTTTTCAAACTATATTTAATGTATATACGTAATTTGTACCTATCAGTAAAATCAGAATGCGAACCACTTGATGATTTATCTCCCAATTTCTAAAATATATAAATAAGGTTATTTTAAAATATTTGTAAATATTAATTTTGAGTAGAGCTTTGAATCTGAAATGTGACATTACTGATATTCAATTAATTTTTAACCAAAAACATCTTCAGCTATTTATGTGAATAATATTATAGGTGGCCCTTGACTTATACCACAGGACACTGAAACCATTGGTAGTAGATACCTGCCGGTTGCCAAGTTGCCAGATTTTGATCACGTGACCATGTGGGGGGAGGGGAAGGTGCTGCAACAGTCATAAAATGTGCAAGGATCTGTTGCAAATCACTTTTTTCAGTGCCATTGTAACTTTGAACAGTTGCTAAACTAACGCTTCTAAGTTAAGCATTACCTGTATTTAAAATTACTCAAGTTAAACATGCATTCAGGGTGTGGAATAGTTTCCCAAAATACCTCTTTTATTTCTTCTAATTTAATTTAGTTACTTTTTTCATGAAATGGATTGTATCCAAACGAAGCCTGGTTTAGGTAGCTTGTTAAAATAATATAAAGTGCTCTTCATTATGATTTAAACCTCACTGGAAGGAATAGCAGCAAATTTAGTCTGGATCCAATTCATTGCTAGCAGCAAATATCCAACAGCAATAGCACTTAGACTTATATACCGCTTCACAGTGCTTTACAGCCCTCTCTTAAGCGGTCTACACAGTCAGTCTATTGCCCCCAACAATCTGGGTCCTCATTTTACCCACCTCGGAGGGATGGAAGGCTGAGTCAACCTTGTGCCTGGTGAGATTTGATCTGCCAAACTGCTGGCAGTCGGTGATCAGCAGAAGTAGACTGCAGTACTGCACTCTAACCACTATGCCACCACGGCTCCACCAAGAGCAACTTATTCCACGGCCACATCAAAGAAAGGGCAATCATTCCATTAACCCACATTATTTTTAGCAGCTAAATTATGCATCCAGCTTCCAACCAAAAAAAGGGAACAATTAATCAATTCCAGGAGTTAAGACCACTTGCCTCTTGGAAAAGGCTGACCCTATTTCCTCCTTCTGAGAGGCCCCATAAATGGAACTGATTGTTGTGGGGCTTTTGCATACTGGGCTCTTCCTGGTTGGGCTCAGGCTGGCTAAACCATGCTCAAACTGATGTGAGCCTGCCTGAAAGGAGCTGCCGCTCTGCAGAGCTGAGCCCAGCTGGGAAGGATTGGAAGATGTTGGACTGGGCTTCTGAAGTGGGCTTGGCCTGGGTGATCGGCGTCTGACTACGACTGATTGGAGAGGGCTCTTTAGCGCTGGACTCCGCTCTTTGGGACTCAACTCTGTCATGGCAGAGGCCCTTGAGGCTGCGCTGGTGCCGTAGGTTCCCACATCCTGCCAGGGTTTTGACCCCTCTGAAGACTTGACATCCTGGGCAGTTCCTCCTGAGAAGGGTTGTTCCTTGGAGTCATCCCCTTGGTTGTCCCCAGCACCTTGGGACCCCCGAGCCTCCTTAGATTTCTTTTCCTTTAACGACCAACGCTTGGAGGACTCAGCTCTGCTGTGATTAGAAGATGACCGAGATGATGAAGACCTTCTTGAACGATCGGATGATGATTTGTCAGAGTTTCGAGAATGACTTCGGGATCTCGGAGAGGGAGACCTCCTCTTTGGTGACCGAGAACGAGAACGCCCCCTTCGAGGGCTGTATGTTTGGCGGTAGTTTTGCCAATTAGACCTGTAATTTCCATAACCACCTCGGTTATATTGGCCCCACGGGTAGAATCCTCTATTTCTTCCACGGAAGTAATAGGGTCTCCGATAGCCTCTGTTATGACCTCGAAAATCCCGGTTCTGGTATACTCGCTGATGGTTCCTCTCCCTGTTATGAGATGGAGAATATGATCTTGAGCGGGACCTAGAACTGAGGAGAAAAAAGATATTTGGTAAATATACATCATACTTTTCAATGTAATTCAAAAACCTATTCTTTCTTGCATGACAGGATAAAGATTCCCTTTCTAGAATTTCTTAGAACAATCCTCCTTACTAAAAATCTACCATTAAGAAGAATTTACCAGCTAGAAGAAATTGGTTACTGCAGTTGCTTTGATTTTCCTACAAAAGCATTATTAAGATACACGGGTACTGAGAAAGAGGCAGTCACTTCTAAATATCAACTACAATGGATTTAATTGAATTTAGAATGAATGAATGAGCTGGAAGGGACCTTGGAGGTCTTCTAGTCCAGCCCTCTGTTCAAGCAGGAGAACCTATACTATTTCAGATAAGTGACTGAATCTATCTTTGTAGGAGTAGGGAAATAACTTTAAAAAAGGAACGCAAGGAAGATTACATAAACAAGTTTGGCCCTAGGAAAGAGGAAGGGATGGGAAAGAATCTCAAGGTAATCTTGTCTTGATTCACTCTTGAGAAGGCAGAAGGTAACTCTGTCAGGCTTTCAATATTCTATTATTATACCCTATAAGAGAATTCCAGTAATTCTTGTGATGCCTCTTTCCTGACCTACCCTACCCTACCTCAAAGGACTATCAGTCTTCTAAAACTCCTGCTGCAATAGAGAACAAACCTGGCAGAGATTGAATGAAACCTATAAATTAAACCCTGAAAACAGAGAAATTAATTTAAAAAATGAACAGAACCAAATTTGATCTATATCACTGTAGTAAAAAAGCTGAAATCTACTATAAAGCTAAACAAAGCCTTATGATTATAAATCATATAACACTGGAGGTGTACTTTGTGACATGTGTAAAGTTTTGAGCAAGTCCATTTTATTTTGCTATAAATGGTATAACTAACATCACCTTAGAAAGCCAATGTAGTTCGAAGGCCAAAACTATGACTAGGGAAACCCAGATCCTGACTTTGGAACATACATACTCAGCCTAATATATCTTGCAGCACTGTTACAAGGATGTAAGTCAACGTAAAAAGTCACTGCTGTGTAGCAACACAATACACCTTTCTCCCTGATAAAAACAGGAGAGAGACCAACTTACCTGGGATACTGTCTCATTCGCAAACAGTTCCAGGAACATAAGAAAGACGAAACAGACACACAGCCTAGTGCATCCAGTGAAAGCGAGCTAATTAACAGTAGTTCTAAAAGAACTAATCAGCCCACAGAAGAACCAGTCCCCAAGCGGTTATGTTAACAATTACTGAAGACCAGTTGCCTGGAGGTTGTTCACAAAAATCATTTCGAAAGACACGCTAATGTGGGATGCAGCCCAAGTTGTACAACAGCAAAGAAGGTTTTGTTTGGCCTAAATAATCAATAATAAAATCACTCCACAAAGTTAGGAGAAATGAAGAGAAAGGCAAATGACTGACTCATACCCTAAACAGACTGTCAAACTGAAGAAAATATAAACTCTCCAGAGAGAGATACAAATATAATCCAGCCAATTTTCTCAACCGAGTCACTGAAATCAACCAGCTGCTACAGCTTTTTCTTCCGCCAAAGGATTATGATCCTGAAGAAATGAATCCTACCTCTGAGAGATTGCTAAATTTCTCCCAAATGATTTGTACATGCCAGCTTTTTCCATTTTGCTTCTTTAATCAAGCCATTCACAAAACAAAAATTTCTCCAACAGGTTTCCACATCTAGACACATTATGCACACAGAGATGGTTTCCATTTGCTTTTCTGAATATTGCTGCATATTCCCAGCCTTAGGCAGATGTTCCTATTGGTTTGCCCTCTGGAAAGAAAGCGCTTCAGTTTCACTGCATGATACAGTTGTCTTTCCCACATGTTTCTTTAAAAAACTATCTTCTAATTATTAACAATTACTTGTGTCTGTAGCCTAACAAAACACAGAATAATTTCAATTATTTAAACATGTAATTAAATACAACAGGAAGCAAAGAAAAAGAAATCTGTTCGAAGACTAATTGGTTTCTGAAAAGCAGAGCAACCACATAAACAGGCAAGGCATGTCCCTAAGCAGCTACAGTTGCAAGAAAAAGTATGTGAACCCCTTGGGATTACGTGGAGTTTTGCATGAATTGGTCATAAAATGTGCTCTGAACTTCATCTAAGTCACAACAATAGAAAAACACAGTCTGCTTAAAATAATACTACACAAACATCAGATGTTGCCTGTTAGGATGTTAAACTTGGCTAATTTCTTCGCATCTTCCTCATCAGCAGGATTCCATGCTGTTACATCCGGTGGATTATTAACTATGTCCCACAGTCCTTCTGTACGCAAAAGTATATTACATTTTGTAGACCAGGATACATAGTTTGTTCCATCCAGCCGGGTTATCATGGAAAAATTTGCTGCTTGTTCTAGTGCCATCTTCACTTGGATTGTATATCACAAACACAGTTTGTACTATTCACATTAACTCTCAGTTTAGCTTTTAACAATCCTAGTTAGTTCTGGTTGGCTCTGGGCCCATAACCAATGTTAAGGATATTGTTGTTGTGTTACCAACCAGCAGAGTGTAGAGCACAGAGTAACGTTGCTGAGAGCAATGAATAAGAGATGTGCAAACTGGTTTATCAAAAGTTTACTTTATAGTGAAAAAACAATCTCATAGTCTTTAAACAAATCCAAGTCTTTGCCAGTTAAATCAGTCCAGTGATGCAAATCTTCTTACCAAACAAACATTAGTTGGTTAGAATAACAAACTCACTCTGGTTCACAAACCACAATGGTAGCAGATCCATCCAACGATGATAGCAACAATGGATAGCAACTCCACACACTATGGTAGCTTATCATCAACTGAATACTTTACAGTACCTTCCTTAAATACGTTCACAACTAATTACAGCATGACTCAGCATTACAATGAATCAGCAGTAAAACTTTAAAGTCACACAATACATATTAATATTAAAGTCACAGAACACATATATTGCCTGGACAACTTGTTAGGCTCAAACCATATCCTAACATTGCCATGGTTTAATTGAACATAACATGTAAACATTCACAGTGCAGGGAGGAAAAAGTATGTGAACCTTTGGATTTAATAACTGGTTGACCCTCCTTTGACAGTAATAACCTCAACCAAACGTTTCCTGTAGTTGCAGATCAGACCTGCACAACGATCTGGAGTAATTTTGGACCACTCCTCTTCACAAAACTATTTCAGTGTAGCAATATTCTTGGGATATCTGGTGTGAATCGCTCTCTTAAGGTCATGCCACAGCATTTCAATCCGGTTGAAGTCAGGACTTTGACTGGACCACTCCAGAAGGCGTATTCTGTGCTGTTGAAGCCATTTTTTTTGTTGAATTACTTGTATGCTTTGGGTCATTGTCCTGTTGCATCACCCATCCTCTGCGGAGCTTCAGTTGGCGGACAGATGGTCGTACGTTTTCGTGCAAAATGTCTTGATAAACTCTGGAATTCATTTTCCCATCAATGACAACAATCCGTCCAGGCCCTGAGGCAGCAAAGCAGCCCCAAACCATGATGCTCCCTCCACCATGTTTTACAGTGGGGATGAGGTTTTGATGTTGGTGTGCTGTGCCTTTTTTTCTCCACACAGTGTTGTGTGTTCTTCCCAAACAACTCAATTTTGGTTTCACCTGTCCATAGTATATTTTGCCAGTAGTGCTGTGGAACATCCAGGTGCTCTTTTGCAAACTTCAAACGTGCTGCAATATTTTTTTGGGACAGCAATGGCTTCCTCCATGGTGTCCTCCCATGTACTCCATTCTTGTTTAATGTTTTCCTTATTGTAGATGTGTCAACAAAAATGTTAGCATGTGCCAGAGATTTCTGTAGGTCTTTAGCTGACACTCTAGGATTCTTCTTTACCTCATGAAGCATTCTGCGCTGTGCTCTTGCAGTCATTTTTACAGGACGACCACGCCTAGGGAGAGTAGCAACAGTGCTAAACTGTCTCCATTTGTAGACAGTCTGTCTTACTGTGGACACATGAACATCAAGGCTTTTGGAGATACTTTTGTAACCCTTTCCAGCTTCATGCAAGTCAACAATTCTTGATCGTAGGTCTTCTGAAAGCTCTTTTCTGCGAGGCATGGTTCACATCAGACAGTGCTTCTTGAAACCAGTAACCCAAAACAGGTGTGTGTTTTTAAAGGGCAGGACAGCTGTCAGCAACACATCCAATATCATCACACTGATTGGAGTCAAGGTTGGCTCACTCCTGGCTCCAATTAGCTTTTGGAGAAGTCATTAAACTAGGGGTTTACATACTTTTTCCTCCCTGCACTGTGAATGTTTACATGTTATGTTCAATTAAACCATGGCAACATCTAATGTTTGTGTAGTATTATTTTAAGCAGACTGTGTTTTTCTATTGTTGTGACTTAGATGAAGTTCAGAGCACATTTTATGACCAATTCATGCAAAACTCCACGTAATCCCAAGGGGTTCACATACTTTTTCTTGCAACTGTATTTGGGATTATCTGAACAACTGTTCCTTTTTATTTAAGAGTCCAAGTTTCAATAAGGAATCAGAAAACCACACCAAAAATTATCTCTTGCTTTTTGGAAGTTACCAGCAACAACACAATATTCAGATCAGGGAGCTGAAATCACTAGCTTTCTATCTATATTAAACTGTTTTCTACTTACAGAGTCTTAAAATATAACTACAAAGTTAAAAGCTTGAAGATTTTGAAGGGAAATCAAAACATTTACACATACTGCAGTTACTCTTTGCTCTTGAACAGTAGAAAGGGACTAACCACAAAACACAATGTTTTTAAACAACTCTCATTTTATCTGTCAATTTACAGAACGGGAAATGTTTTCTTATAATTTATAGTATTCCTCAACAACAAAAGAACAAGAAAAGCAAATACTTGCCAGTGGCCAAAAACTACCTCCCCCCAAAAAATCCTTCCCCAAATATGGAAATCACAGATTTTCTTTTCATGAATGATCAAGAATCATCTTGATAAAATTATTGAATAGAACTTCTGGCATGCAGTAGACATTCTTCTCATATGAGCATCTGAAGGTGAAGCATTTGTTGGCAAAAATCTGCCAACCCCAGACACAACCCCAAAATACTCACCTCAGCCTTCGTTTCCTTGATCTTGAAACTGATCGAGACCGAGATCGAGACTTTGAGAAAGACCGAGACCGAGACCGGGACCCAGATCTTGAACGAGAAGAACGGGACCCTGATTTTGATTTATTTGTTTTTGACATCTCCGATAAATCCTTTCACTTTAATCTGTCAACAGAGAAAATGTAACCAACATCAATGATTGTTCCTCTGTAGTAAGGGAAATGTTTTTTACTGAATAATTTCTGAAAGGAGAAAAGGAACAACACTAGGATCACACAAGCTTTAAGAATTCTGTTTACAAAATTTCTAGCCTGTTACTTTTATGTCTAACAACTAATTACATTTATCAGTTCCTCAAGTCCTTACTGCAAACTATAACGGAGAAACTGTAACTGTAACCTTAACGAAGTACTAGAGCTCAGGAAGAGGTGCTGACACTGAGGAGCATTGGTGGTAGCAAACGAAGTCACAATCAAGCAGCCACCAAGGATTTCTTCTGTAGCCAAAATAAATGAGGAATCTATCCAAGTATTCCAGAGTTTCAAATGTTGGTTACAGCATCTTGTCAACTTGCAATGTTTTTGAAGCATTAGTGTTTCTATAGGAAAATGGTTTTGCTATAAGTCATCTCATACCAGTGTGTGCTCGTCAAGAGTTCTTACTTCTCTTGTGTAAGAACTCTATTTAGATGAGCACAAACACACTACAGCAACTCTGGACAGCAGATAAAAGGAAACAGATCATCTATAGACATCTTGCACTTGACTTAGCTAGGATAGTCACAGTTTCCCAGTTGAAACTATGGTTGAATCTGCCCAGTTAGGAAATTTCTCCTTAATTCTAGGTTGATTCTCTCTTTGATAAGTTTTCATCCATTACTTCTTGTCTTGCCTTCAGATGCTTTGGAGAATAGGTTGAATCCTTCTTCCTTGTGGCAGCCCCTTAGATATTGGAAGACTGCTATCATGTCACCCCTAGTCTTTCTTTTCACCAGACTAGACATACCCAGTTCCTGCAACCGTTCTTTACATGTTTTAGCCCCTAATCATCTTTGTTGCTCTCCTCTACACTCTTTCCAGCGTCTCAACATCTTTTTTATAGCATGGTAACCAAAACTGGAAGCAGTATTCCAAGCGTGGTCTTATCAAAGCATTATAAAGTGGTATTATCATTTCATGTAATCTTGAAGCTATCCCTCTGTTGATGCAGCCTACAATTGCATAGGCTTTTTGGTGGCTGCAGCACACTGCTGGTTCATACTTACAGTATATCACAGAAGTGAGTACACCCCCTCACATTTTGTAAATATTTAAGTATATCTTTTCATGTGACAACACTGAAGAAATGACACTTGGCTACAATGTAAAGTAGTGACTATACAGCTTGTATAATCATCCATCACCATGGACTGAGGTATCACCAATATGCTGATGATACTCAGCTGTATGTCTCAACCCATGATGAGTTAAGTGATGCCGTGTCCTCCCTCTCACAGTGCCTGGAGGCTGTTAGGGGTTGGATGGGGAGCAATGGGTTGAAACTAAACCCTGGCAAGACCGAGTGGCTCTGGGTTTGGGGTTCGTTGGCTCAGGGAGAATTGCCATCTTTGGTCTTGGATGGGGTGGCACTACCCCAAACAGACCCTGTGCGTAATCTGAGGGTTCTCCTGGACTCACGACTCCTGCTCAAAGAGCAGGTGACGGTCACAGCTAGGAGGGCCTTCGCGCAACCGTGAGTTGCACGTCAGTTATTCCCTTTCCTGGACCAGCAATCTCTACTCACAGTCACTCATGCCTTAGTAATTTCCTGTCTTGACTACTGCAATGAGCTCTACATGGGACTGTCCTTGAAGAGCACCTGGAAGCTCCAATTGGTGCAAAATGCAGCGGTCCGCACTTTTTTGTACAGACCCCGGTGCGCACATATATCACCTCTCCTGCGGGAGCTGCATTGGTTGCCGATTTGCTTCCAGGTGCAATTCAAGGTGATGGTTGTCACCTTTAAAGCCCTTCATGGCTTGGGACCAGGTTATCTGAGGGACTGTCTCTTGCCGTTCACATCTACCTGATCCATCAGAGCAGGAAGGCAGGGACTGTTGCGGTCCCATCCCTGAGGGAGATACACCTGTGGGACCCAGAAGAAGAGCCTTCTCCGTGGTGGCTCCCTCTCCCTGGAACATCATTCCCCCAGAGATTAGAACAGCCCCCACCCTAATACTCTTCCAGAAGGCGCTGAAGACCTGGTTCTGGCAGTGGACCTGGGGAACCCAGAGCAAGATGGAATCCATTCAATGGTTCGTGTGATCGGCTGTCGCTGGGGCGGGAGGTAGTGGTCAGGGGTGATTTTATTATATTAATTCATTTGATTTTTTTATGAGTTTTACTGTTTTTTAAATATGGTTTTTTATATTCTGTAAACAGTCTTGAGTCGCCATGGGCCAATAGGCGGCAATATAAATCTAATAAATAAATAAATAAATAAATAGATAGATAGATAGATAGATAGATAGATAGATAGATAGATAGATAGATAGATAGATAGTGTAAATGTGCTGTCCCCCTCAAAATCACGTAACTCACAGCCATTAATGTCTAAACTGCTGGCAACAAAAGTGAGTACACCCCTAACTGATAATGTCCAAATGGGGCCCAAAGTGTCAATATTTTGTGTGGCCACTATTATTTCCAGTACTGCCTTAACCCTCTTGGGCAGAGTTCACCAGAGCTTCACAGGCTGGCACCGGAGTCCATTTCCACTCCTCCATTACGACATCTGGTGGATGTTAGAGATCTTGCGCACCTCTACCTTCCAGTTCAAGATGCCCCACAGATGCTCAATAGGGTTTAGGTCTGGAGACATACGTGGCCAGGCAAATTGCCTTTACCCTCAGCTTCTTTAGCAAGGCAGTAGTCATTTTGGAGGTGTGTTTGGGGTCGTTATCATGTTGGAATACTGCCCTGCAGCCCTGTCTCCGAAGGGAGGGGATCATGCTCTGATTCAGTATTTTACAGTACACGTTGGCATTCATGGTTCCCTCAATGAACTGTAGCTCCCCAGTGCCGGCAGCACTCATGCAGCCCCAGACCATTACATTCCCACCACCATGCTTACTGTAGGCAAGACACACTTGTCTTTGTATTCCTCACCTGGTTGCCACCACACACGCTTGACACCATCTGAACCAAATAGGTTTATCTTGGTCTCATCGGAGCACAGGACATGGTTCCAGAAATCCATGTCCTTAGTCTGCAGCAAACAGTTTGCGGGCTTTCTTGTGCATCTTTAGAAGAGGCTTCCTTCTGGGACAACAGCCCTGCAGACCAATTTGATGCAGTGTGCGGCATATGGACTGAGCACTGACAGGATGACCCCCCACCCAGTGGTAGGATTCAGCCAGTTCGCACCACTTTGGGAGAACCGGTTGTTAACTTTCTGAGCAGTTTGGTGAACTGGTTGTTGGAAGAAATCATTAGGGCAGAGAACCGGTTGTTAAATTATTTGAATCCCACCACTGCCTCCACCCCTTCAACTTCTGCATCAATGCTGGCAGCACTCACACGTCTATTTCCTAAAGCCAACCTCTGGGTATGACGCTGAGCACAGGCACTCAACTCCTTTGGTTGACCATGGCAAGGCCTGTTCTGAGTGGAACCTGTCCTGTTAAATCACTGAATGGTCTTGGCCACCGTGCTGCAGCTCAGTTTCAGGGTCTTGGCAATCTTCTTATAGCCTAGGCCATCTTTATGTAGAGCAACAATTCGTTTTTTCAGATCCTCAGAGAGTTCATTGCCATGAGGGGCCATGTTGAACTTCCAGTGACCAGTATGAGAGTGTGAGAGCGATAACACCAAATTTAACACACCTGCTCCCCCTTCACATGAGACCTTGAACCACTAATGCATCACATGACACCAGGGAGAGAAAACAGCTACTTGGGCCCCATTTGGACATTATCACTTAGGGGTGTACTCACTTTTGTTGCCAACAATTTAGACATTAATGGTTGTGTGTTGCGTTATTTTGAAGGATATATATATTGTTATACAAGCTGTATACTCACTATTTTACATTGTAGCCAAGTGTCATTTCTTCAGTGTTGTCACATTACAAAATGTGAGGGGGTGTACTCACTTCTGTGATATACTGTAAGTGGTTGTCTACTAGGACTCCTAGATCCCTTCTTGCAGTTACTGCTCTTGAGCGAAGTACCACCTATTCTATACTTGTGCGTTTGGTTTTTCTTGGCTAAGTGTAAAATCTTCCTTTGTCAAGATCCTTCTGAGCCTATCTTGTGAAGTGTTAACCCTTCAGTTACAGCCATGGTGCTGCAGCCTATTGCTACTGAGCAGGATAGCTAAAAGGGCAGAGTCAGGCATGGGGCGCAGATAGGTGGGTGGAATGAATTTGAGCATCCCTGCAGTCGTAAGCACTACTGAACAAGTTGGGTGGCTGCAGCTTTGCATGGCATTACCCTCCAAATCGTACATGTATTTGATCCAGATGATGAATAAGTGTATAATGTATAATAAAATGGGCTAAAAATTTTGAGTGTAATATTTAAAGGGAACAATGGGAGAATATGTGGATGAAAGGACTGTGTTATAATCTTAAAGAGAATTTTCATAAAATGCTGTAGCATTTGTTACTGAAAAGGTTGTCTAAAGTACTCCCTTCCCCCCCAAAATAAGACATCCCCTGATAATAAGCCCAATCGGGCTTTTGAGCACATGGCAATAAGGCCAAGTGCTTATTTCAGGGTTTAAAAAATATAAGACAGGGTCTTATTTTCAGGGAAACATGGTATATAAAGGTACTTTGTATGTTGGAAATGTGAACTTTTTATCATGCTGGATGGATGTGCAAAAAAGCTGAAAAATTGGATTCAAATGCAGAATTCAGAAGCTCTTGAAGACTAATATACAATTGAAATCAAAGATATTTCCTTCTGATGAACTTTTTCCAACAGTTGGAAAAAAACTCTTAGAACTTTGTTTCTATATATGATAACAGCAGTGAGACTTTTCTATGCAGAGTGATAGAAGGACCTGACATTTCCCACAATAGACGAATGGATGGTGAGGTTGATGGAGCTGGCTGAGGTGGTGAAATTGACAGCTTCAATTAAAGAAAAAGATACTGATTACTTCTAATGCTTATTGGAACCCTCCTTTGGACTTTGTGTGAAACAGAAAAACATGAAATTTCAATATATGATTAGAAAAAATAGTAGACAACAGGAAATGACATGGAATGGTGAAGATTAGTGGGGTGCCCCAGAACCTGTGAAGCACAGAGCAGCAAGGGCAAATGCAGCTTTGCAGAATGGCCCCGGCGTAGCTGGCCCCAATGTGGAGCTTGTATTTCTCAGTAGCAGTGGCAGTGCTGGCGCTGAAGTAGAGGCCAGAGGGCAGTGGCAGCTCTTATTTCAGAACCAGTCCCAGAACTACCACCAAATGCCACAACGCAGGATAGCCAAAATAGCATAGAGTGCTAGGGAGCATATAGATTTTTTGGGGGGGGGGGGATGGATTGTAACACCCCTGCAATCGTAAGTGCAGGCAGGCTGCCATATGCCCAATTTTTGATCACATGACTACTGGGCATTACAACAGCCTTAATTTTGGACATGGGTCGTAAGTCCATTATTTTCAGCAGTCATTTTGAACAGTCACTGAGCCAAGAACTACTGTCTATATAACAGAAAAACTATGAGCTTTTAAAACATATTTTTAACAATTTTGCAGGAAATATGCAATATTCAAAACCTCTTCAGTATTAACAATGACAAGTTGTTGGAAAACTTACCTTGCCTTGAAATTAACTCTGCTTGAACAGAAAGCAAGGTCAATTGGCACGTCTCCTTCCACTTGAAAGAGCAAACAACTCTGTAAAATAAAGGTAACTGCTTATACTCCAACTGCACACACAGTAAGTGTTATATTTTAAAGAATAATATAAAGACAACATAGCTTGAAAGATGATCTGAGGCACAAATCTATCTAGCTCAAACAGTGCGTTCACTTCAAAGCAATTTTTAATCTATGCGTCATGTGAGCAGGGTACTATCAGGAACTTGAATGGCATGTATAAACAGGGGGGCCCAAACCCTGGTCCATGGCCCAGTGCTGGTCTGCAGCCCATTGGACACTGGGCTGTAAAAGTGGTGGGTGAGAAACCATCCCCTCTTCGCTCCCCCCCCCCCCGCCAAGACGGAAAGGTTGGGGACCAGTGATGTAGCCAACTGGCCTAGATTGGAAGGTTCATACTGCAACCTAAGAGGTGAATTATCCCACCTGCCTTTTGTATCTTGACATAACAGAACAGGAAATAAAAATTAAAGTATATACAGTCTCACTCCTACATATAAGTAGTCTTCGACTTACAACTATAATTGAGCCCAGAATTACAGCTGTAGGTCATACCAATTGTTAAGCAGTCATCATGTGACCACATCCAATTTGATGACTTTTGCTGTATTTGCTGTTTAAGTTTGCCATACTCTAATGAACATGTAAGATGGACAGCACAAAAGCTTGCATTATAACGTATTAATTCATTAAAATAGTAGATTGAAATAGCTTTTTACAATTAGAAAAACTCATCAGTAAGAATATATGTGGGCACAGTCTCTTGGTATTTTTTCATATCTGTTCCTCCCTATCTACTATTTGGTGTAAAACCCTGGCTACTCTGTACCCATCAGCCTTCTCATCTATTCTAGAAGGGAATGCTTCTGAAAAGCTCACCAAGAAATAAAAGCAAGTCAAGCGAAGAAACTCTGTGGTCAAAATAGCAATAGCACTTAAACTAATATACTGCTTCACAGTGCTTTTACAGCTCTCTCTAAGCGGTTTTCAGAGAGCCTCTTGCCCCCAACACTCTGGGGGCAAGAGGCCCACCTCAGAAGAATGGAAAGCTGAGTCAACACCTGGTGAGATTCGATCTGCCAAATTGCAGGCAGCCAGCAGTCAGCAGAAGTAGCCTGCAGTACTGCATTCTAACCACTGTGCCACCATGGCTCTATTTTATCTTGATTCCCCAAAGTAGTAATTCAAGACAAACTCAAAAGTGAGAGTATTTAAAGATACATATTGGAGAGATTTGTAAAACACATTAGATCAATCTTGTGATCTAAACTAATCCAGCTATATTATATATTAAGTGCCAACAGCAAATTTACTTTTTAAATACACAATGGCTATACCGTGTTTCCCTGAAAATAAGACAGGGTCTTCTTTTCTTATTTAAGACACGGCGGAGAAGCGGGACACGTCTTACCTGACTTCCAGCTCCTGCCATGCCTGGCGAGGGGGGGGAGAGAAGAGACGGCAAGGGGAGCCCTGTCTCACTTCTTCCCAGCCCCACCCCTCCCCACCTGCTACTCCCCTCGCCGGCAGAGATCGCCAAGCCAGATTTGGGGAGCTGAACGCGCTGCTGCTGCCCAGGAGGAGAAGAACGTGAGAAATGTGCTCTCTCGCAGCACTTCCTCTCTCTCTTCTTCTCCCAAGTGGCAGCGGTGCGTCCAGGTCACCAAATCTGGCCTGCTGATCTCGGGCAGCAGCAGCAGCGGCTCTGACTCAATCCTCACCAGCAATGCTGCAGGCAAGAATTGGCCACGCTGATCCCGCTTCATAGATGCGCAGACAGCCCACACCGGCCACTGCTCGGAGCTCCGATGCCAGTCCCCCTCCCCCAGTCCCAGGTTGACAGGACTAGGGCTGGCAAGAGTTTTTTTTGTGGCTGCCACTAAGAGGGGTGAGCAACCCAGGGTTTGAGGGAGCGGCCTCCGCAAGGCCGGCAGGTGCATGTGGGGCATGTTCCCCCTCCCTTTCCCCACCTCTCCGGCCTCGCCTCCTCATGCCGTGTTGTTTGCACAGCAGCTGCACGTGCATCTAAGAATTGGGGGGGGGGGCTTATTTTGGGGGGGGCTTATTTTAGTGCATGCGCTCAAAAGCCCAATTGGGCTTATTATCTGGACAGTCCTAGTTTCGTGGAAACACAATAGTTTTGTATTTTTATAATGCAAATTAGGCATACCATGTAAATTCTTCTATAATTCATTTTAATATTCATTATTAGTAAATCAATTATTACCTTATAACACAAGTATAGTGTGAAACTGCTTGTTTTTTAACTGATACAAGCAGAGACAGAATTTCTAGAGCAAGCTTGGAATTCTGCCAATAGAAGCAATCTCCTTTGCTTCCCAATTGCCATTGCTGTAAATCAAACCTACACACACAGTTAATTTTTATCTTGTTTTTACCCCAATAGGAAAGAAAACACTTTTTGTTCAGCACAGTGAAGCCCAAAGGGCCTCACCAGCAAAATGGGCAAAAAGCCAACCACTCCTCCTCAGTGCAGTAGCTGCCTGGGCTTTTGAAAACAAAAAGTCACCACCTGTTCCATCTCATCCTTAAGGAATATTTTAATTATCTCACATCTGAAAGGGGACCGTTTATCTTCTCATCCTGTCAACAATGAGCTAAGATAACATGCAGCCTGCTTCACAACATGCAGTTGACAAGTTATTCAATCAACTGATGACTGTTTTACTTTTTCCCAGACCTGTATACCTTAAAATCACTCCTAATAAGGCAGAAGGCAAGGCCTGCAGTGTTTTAAAAATCCTCCTAGAAAGTATCATAGCTTGTCAAAGAAAAAGGAAATTGGAGTGAATTGATACACAGTATTAATTGTTAACACGTTAACAATTGCTTAATATAGTTACAAGTTGTTGGCAAGATCCAACTTTTCCATGGGTAGATACCATCTTCACCTTCTTAGCATGAGATTCAAATGGATTTAGATGCAGTTTATCCTTGGATGAGGAGCAAGACAGCACCAATCTCTTGTACGAAAAGGAAAAGCTGTTGCATAAAAATCTATATACCCTTAGTCTGAAAAGTATTTATTTAAAAGAAAAGTGAACTGCTCACAAACTTGAAAAATTACTATTGCTTTTTAAAGCTTTAAACTTCAACATTGCTCAACTTTAGTTGTCCCTTACTTCCCTTCATTGCCTTTCTGCTACAATAGCTTCTCCAACAGTCCCAAGGTTTCACAAACATCACTAAGGAAGGTGAAGCGCATGCTATGGCTGGGTGCTTCCCTCTTTGCCTTGAATAGAGGGTTCAGCATAAATATCATAGCTTGCATTAGGTCAAAGTTTCCTATTGCATTTCAAGAATTGTATTTTAATAAAACTGCTACAGTAGACAGCAAAAGGAAAAAAAATTCCTTTTCCTGACAGCTGTCCCCAACTGGGCATATCTGTTTTAAGTTTGTACAAGTCACTTTATGATAACATAAATAGACAATGCTCTGCAGGTTCATCATTTCTATTTTTAAAGGTAACCTTTAATTCCCTTTTTTAAGATGCAAACCATAACGTCTAAAACTGGAATATCAGGTCAACAAAAAATAATCCTCCTTCCTGTTACATCAATAATAAAACGGTTAGCCATGATTTTGAAGCAGTCAGTTTAAAACTTTATATTGATTTATAAATTGTTTGTGAACAACCTATATAGATGCAATGATAAAACTGATATTGTAATCCTGTAATATTCAGACCAAAGTTTCCTTGGATTGGAATCAGAACTCTTACAAATGAAATTAGCATAATTCTGCTTGCTTATGATTCAGAAGCATCAGATAACACAGAACACTCAAATAACCCAGACCTGTTCTACCTTCCAAATGGAAATCTTTCTGCACAATGAATCAGGATAGTGAACTCTGCTAACAGGACAATCTGCTGAAGCTGTTTCCATTCTGATTATTTTATATAGCAGCTCTTTCTTACATGCAATTAATACCCTGTTTCCCTAAAAATAAGCCCAATCGGGCTTTTGAGCGCATGTGCTAAAATAAGCTCCTCCCCCCAAAAATATTTAAATGCATATGCAGCCTGTCCCCGCCATTTCCTCTGGTTAGGGTTAGGCAGACAGAGCTGGAAATCAGGTAAAATGTCAAGAGGAGCCCCGTCTTGCTCCACGCAACCCAAAATAATAAGACCTCCTCGAAAATAAGGCCAAGCGCTTATTTCGAGGTTCAAGAAAATATAAGACAGGGTCTTATTTTCGGAGAAACACGATACCATGCAGAAATTCACTTGGAACAAATCTCCTTCAAGAGTTGTCAGCAAACCAGAAAACATTATGTCGTATAAAAAACAACACAGGTAGTCCTCAACTTACAACCACAATTGAGCCCCAAAATCCCATTGTTAAGCAAGAGAGTTGTTAAATGAGTTATGCCCCATTTTACAACTTTTGCCATGGTTTTTAAGTGAATCCATTAAGTGAATCATGAGGTCATTGAGCAAATCTGGCTTCCCCCCATTGACTTTACTTGCTGGAAGCCAAGTGGGAAGGTTACAAATGATGATCACATGACCCCAGGATGCTGCAACCATCATAAATACATTCCAGTTGCCAACCACCCAGTTTGATCACATGACTGTAGGGATGCTGCAACAGTCATAAGTGTGAAACCTGGTCATAAAATATATCACTTTTTTTAGTGCCATTCTAACTTTAAATAGTCATTAAACAAATGACTGTAAGCCAAGGACTGCTTGTAGAGTCCAACTACCCTACAGACCGTGATCCAGTTTTTCCTCAGACAGATTCCTTGGCTCTGAGCAACTCACAGAGCTTCAACTTCCATCTTATAATTTACTTTATGGAATATAGCTGCCTATTTCAGAATTCAGACATAACTGGGAAAAGAAAGCACAATGTGAAATCTAATTCAGAAATGGAAGCAATTATAGCCTGCTGACAGTCACTGAAGAAGACTAATACAGAATTTATAGCTCCTTTAATTCCACAGTATTGCTAATGCTTCCCTTTCATAGTTTCTGCCTTCCTTTCATGCCATTGCCCATTTACATTCTTAGAATCTTGTCATTCATAATCAGGGTGGATTTGATTTAAATCGAGTTGATTTAAATCAACTCGATTTAAATCATAATTTTTAAAGAGCAACTGTCATCTCTGCTACTCCTTTGACCCACTGTTGACTCACTGATAGTCCCAGTGTTGCAGAATATACAGCCTCATGCCACATAACTAAGCTCCATTTCATGCTGAATAAACTAAATTATTTATGTATCTTAAATAGAAAACTATTTTACGATAGATTTTTACCCCAAGTTTTTTATTAAAATAAATTCAATAAAAATCAAAAAAATCCGATTTAAATAAAAAAAAATCCGATTTAAATTAAAAAAAACTGATTTTTTTTATTTATTTTTTTTAAATCATTGATTTTTATCCACCCTGTTCATAATCATAAAACTCACTGGAGCCATGGCGTAAGGCATATTGGACTATGACTCCCATCATGTCCTGCCTCTCTAGTTAATCTATCATACTGCCTGGTGTAGACAAAATTTGTAGCCCATTAGTCCAAGAAGAGGAGGCTGAGGGAAATTTACAAAAAGCAGAGAAATTGTACCACAGATATTATAATAATAATGGAATCTTAGGCTTATCTAATGAAACACATGGACGATTTAAGAGAGATCAAAAAGCATTTTTACAATGTACACAATTAGAATGGAGTTACTACTGCAAGACATAATGATGGTTAGATTATATAACTTTAAAAGGGGATCAAATCTTCATGAATTTGTCACAAATAGTTGGGTATTGGTTTCAAAATAGATATGCAGAGCTTCTATTTCACGTAACTACTGAATATCAAACACTAAGGGATGGACCATGCTCACATCTGTAGTTGCATCAAACAATAAAAGCAGCCAAAATACAGGAAAAAACCCCCACTCCTTTCTTTGCAGTTTAAGTCACTATTGGTTAATCACAGTGACAAATTAATCTCATAGATCATTTTGATATATTTTAGAGATAATACTAACTAAATGGCAGAAACGGAACATCTACCTTCCAATTTCAAAAAATGTATCATACACAACAGCAAGAGGCAAAAGAATTTATTGCCCAACATTGGAAAGGAAACAAAATTTGAATCCAAGTTATGACAAATGAAGAATTTTGACACTGATTTCCATGATAAAAAAAAATTAATAAATTATATAATTTTTAGTGGTACTTCATGTGATCTTGATTCTATCCCTCTGTTGATGAAACATAGGACTACATTGGGTTAAGTGGTGGTCCACTAGGGCACCTAAATCCCTCTGAGTTACTAATGTATCTCCAATTCTATGCCTGTGCATTTGGTTTTTCTTACCTTATTTTTCACATCACTGAACTGTATTTTGTTGGATAGTCCAGTGTTCAAGTCTGTTCAAGATCCTTCTTGAGTCTTATCTTGTTGGCTATCCCCCCCACCCCCCAGCTTGGTGTCATCTGCAAATTCCATGTTCCCTTTCTATCCCCTTAACTGTTTATGATGACGTTGAAGAGTACTGGGCCTAAGACAGAACCTTGAGGTATCCCACTGCATGCTTCCCTCCATTTAGATGTAGGGCCATGAGGACTACACGTTGAGTGTGATTGGTCAGCCACTTATGAATCCATCTCATGGCAATTCTGTTTATCCCACATTTTTCTATTTTTACCAAGTAGGCTTTATGGTCTACTTTGTCAAATGCTTTACTGGAATCTAAGTAAACTATGTCTACTGTATTTTCCTGATCCACCAGTTTAATCACTTTGTCAAAGAATGTAATAAAGTTTATCTGCATGATCTGTTTTTGACAAACCCATGTTGACTTATGTTAACAGCTTTGCTTGTTTCTAGATGTTCACATCTTATCTTTTTCCAGGTTCTTCCCAGATATTGATGTCAGGCTGATTGGTCTGTAGTTTCCTGGCTCCATTTTCCCCCCTTTTTGAAGATTGAAACCTCATCTCTAAACATTTATTTTCTCTGGTAGTTAATTGTTCCTTATTCTGTTCAGTTTGGTTGCAGTCTTTTCCCTTTAGTTGGGGTTTCTCATTTTGTTGTCAGTGGCTAGACTTGTCTCCAGACACTTTGCTTTTTCCTCTGGACCCTATACCTTTTCCTCAAGTAATTCAATTAGCTTACATTTGATTGAGATATAATTTGTGTCTTCGACACACTTGACCTAATATAAGGAGCAACAGTGTTTTGCCTTACAGATGAAGCACGTTAAATGTTGCCCTTCAAGACAGAAACCTGGAGATTTGAGGTCTGCTGCCAAACATAATGCAGTTAAAAATGACATGTTGCACTGCCTAGAATGGGCTTGTGAATGGTTTTAAACATATTTTAAAAGTCAGAATTTACGAATTAAATCATTTTTTTCATATTTGGGAACATGTGCAAAAAAGCTATGTTGTAAACTGCGTTTGAGTTATTTTATTTTTAAAAAACTGTCAATATGTGCTAATACAATGCATATTTTTTTAGAGATATTCAAATTGTTAATGAAAGCCCAACTGCTGGACCATTTAGCCTAGGATCAGCCATACTATTGGGCTACAGTGAGTGAAACCAGCTGCTGAAATTTAGAACTCCTTAAAATGTGCTCTGCCAAAGAATTACTGTCCTTCCCTAGCCTTTCATTATTTATTCATTCATTAAGAGCTGTGGTGGTCCAGTGGTTAGAACGTAGTATTGCACGCTAATTCTGCTGACTGCCAGGGATTCGATCCTGACTGGCTCAAGGTGGATTCAGGCTTCCATCCTTCTGAGGTTGCTAAAATGAGGACCAAGGTTATGGGGGGGGGGGGAGGAGAATATGCTTACTCTGTAAACTGCTTAGAGGGCTGTAAAGTCTAAGTGCTATTGCTATATTTTTAAGGAAAATGACTAAAATACCACTTTTAGAAGCAAACTATGGAGAGAAATTCACATTTTAAAAAATTCACCTGTGTTGCTTATAGGCTAAATATTGTGTTAGGCTCTAAACAATACAAATGTAAAATTTACATAAAATCCAGAAAAAAATATGCAAAAACATAAATTAAAACCACCATACCTAAACTGCATAGCAATTGATAACTGAAAAATTACAATTTAAAATACCCCCTTTGGGGCTTAAGTAACTCTGGTCTCACTTAATCAGTTTCAGCTGGTACTACTATATATTAGAAGTCTGCTAGCACCTTTTCTATTAACACCTTTTATTACAAACGCTATATTAATTTCCTGAAATCACGACTGTAAACAACAGAACCATTCGCCATAGCAGTCATTTCGCTAACATCTCTCAAAGGTTGAGGGCTGCGAGTCTTGCAGCGGGCAAGAAACCGCAGGGCCAACCAGAGGCCAGCAGGGCCCACGATCAGGGCCGATGCCCGATTATCCCCCTCAGGCGGCAGCCGGGTGCCCGGGCATTTCTTCGGGCGGCCCTGGTCGGCCCCGCGGCTGCTCCCCTGGCTTCTTTGTGTCGAGACCGAGGAGGCCCGCTCGGTGGCCATTTTGAAAAGGAGCCACGGCACGCCAGGGAGATTCCCCAGGAGGCAGCGAGGACGTTGGGCCTGCCTTCCACCGAAGCCCGTTCCCGGGGCAGATTTCCAAACATGTGAAACTTGTCTTCCGCCACGACCTCCGAGTATCCCACCGGCCACACCGAAGGGCCCTCAGCCCCAGACGGATCCTATTCACGGGCATTTCCCGGAGGAAGCGTCTCACCGCCAAAGGAACAAACGCCATCAAACCGCTACTCTCCAACCGCCACCGCCCAGCCACGGACGGGACGGGCTCACCAGCCGCGCGGCCGGCCCTTCCCCGCCGAAGGCAGGACTACCGAAAGGCGGCCGGCAGGCGACATTCCGGAGCAGCTGCGCCCGCCCAGCCTGGCGGAGGCAGCCCGGGAATGTGGAACCAGGAGCCGCGTTACGAGGCGAGACGAGCGCAAGGAAGGCCGCGCCGGCTGCAGCCAAAGGAGCTCGGCTGGAGCCACCGCCTGCCCGGTTTTCCCCTCTGCCAATCGAGCTTTAGCGATCGCCCTCCGAACAAACGCGGGAGAGCCTCGGCTTGGGCCGCGCGCGGAGCGGGGAAACGTTGCACTCGCGCTGTCGGGCCCTTTCCTCGCCCGCCCGCGGCACTCTCACCTACGGGCCGGGCCTGGCGAGGCCGCGCCACAGCCCGAGCATCTTCTCCGCCCGCGGGAGGAAGCGAGGGAGGGCGAGGCGCCGGGCCGACGGAAGGCCTGCGCTGGCCGAAGGGGGGGAGGGAATACGCGACCTCCCCGGGCGCCCCTCCCCCACGCGCCGGCCCTTCCCTGACGCCCTCCAGCTGCGCAGCGGAAGGCCGCGCCAAATCCAGGTCCGTGCGCCCTTCGGTAAGTCCAAGATTAGGGGGATGAGGAAGAAGAGACGCCGCGGCCTCCCACTCACCGTCGAGGCCCGGCCCGCTCTCGCCTGCCTTCGTCGCCTCACGGTCCACCTCCACAGCTGCAGAAGGTCCGGACGCTTTGCGCGCGCATCAGCACAAAAAAAAAAAAAGCAAGCTAGGTACGTCCGATGGGAGGTGTAGTTCTTCTTGAGCCAGAATCCACGGGGCTTCCGCGAACGTCTTCCCCGAGAGAACTACATCTCCCAGGGTACCCGCGTCTAAATATTGGCCCGCCCTCTGCTTCTGAGGCTCTCGCCCTATACTCGCCAGGCTCCGCCCCTTGCGCTTTTTTCCCGTCCCGGCCCTCCTTTGGCTTGACGGAATATCGAGTCTTTCTGCTTCTCTCCATGCATAGGCGAAGAAGGGGAGTCCCTGGATTGAGAACTACAACTCCCAAGAGGCGAATCGTCCAGGTCGAAGCCCTCGGGAGAGAATGCGCGCGCGCGCGCCAACGCGGCTTTTTTCCTCGGGCCCCGGATGTCTCTGTTGTTTATGGTTCCCGCGCTAGGCCGCTTCTGTCGCCCGAGGGATTGCTATCCATCCGCCTTGAAGGCGAAGGGGCTAAACTAGGCAATAAATCCTCTTGAGGCGACCTGATGGAAATTGTGCTGCTCGATTTCCCTCACATGTCGGCATTTGAGTCCACACGGTGCCCTGAGCCACTGAAACAGGCGTGAGAATCCGGGAACACGTGTTAGGATGGTTACACAAAATGCCAAACGTTCTACTCGGAGACTAGTCGCGGAAGAAAGTAGAAGAGAGCAGGAACAAAAGAAAATACGAATATGGGGGAATATCGCGGGACATTCATGGTTAGAAGAGAATCTCTAGCTGAGGGTTGAACCGCCGAGTCCTTGGTGCTCTCTGAGCTGGTTTGTTTTCTTGCAGATGTTTCATTACCAAATTAGGTAACATCATCAGGGCGCATCTGAGGGGCTGCCACAGAGAAGTGGTCAACCTATTCTCCAACGCACCCGAGGGCAGGACAAGAAGCAATGAATGGAAACGTAACAAGGAGGGATCCAACCAAGAAATTTCCTGACACAACAATCAGTGGAATTGCTTACCTCCAAAAGTTGTGGGTTCTGAACACTAGAGGTTTTTATGAGACTGAACAGCCACTTGTCTGAAATGGTCTAGGGTCTCCTGCTCCAGCGGGGTTCAACTAGAAGACCTCCAGGGCCCCTTCCAATTCTGTCATTCCAAGTTCCAAACATCCACAAACACATCTGCCAGCTCCAGCTAACCATGGAAAAACGCTGCCCTTGTAGACAGTGTTTCCCTTCAACTGGGGAACAGAAATTTTAGAAAAGCAAGATAGAAAAAAATGTCCAGAGGATTTCTTAGAAACAAGACATTCCAATCAAGTCGCAGTCCAAAACATAAACAAGGGGCTACCCTTGACCATTCAGAAGCTTCAGCTGGTGCAGAGTGCAATGATGTAAGAAGGTCTTTGGGGCCCTAAGGTTGCCCATATTACCACTGCTCCATAACTGTTGGTATGCTTTTGGGTGCAATTTAAGGTGTGGGTTTATTACCTTTAAATCTCTGGATTTTATCATTTTATCATTTTACAAATATTTATTTCATAGTTTCATGTTTTTATTGCTGTAAGCTGCCCAGAGTTGCTTTGAAATGAGATGGACAGCAAATAAATTCAATTAATAAATCTTAAATTTGGCTGACTTGTTAAATAATGCAGCCAAAGATTTCGTCCATGTGCAGATTTACCACCCGGCCCCACCAACCCAAGTATGTATGCATAACTCATTCAACTACATCAAGAAAGGTAATAAAATGGGACAAACTTCACTTAACAACTGTCTTGTTTAGCAACAGAAATTTTGGGCTTAATTGTGATTGTAAGTTGAGGACTACCTGTAAAGGCAAGTTAAGAGTCTAATAAATATATAAAACGCCATACGGCAGAAGTTTTGTTACAGAAAAGCCAAGTTGCCCTTATAAAAGAATTCCTACAACTGCAGTATATCAAATAGTATTTAAAGTGAAATAAACAGCCAAATTCTGTTGCTTCTTTCTAGTTATCCCTTTTTTGGGTAAAGGACAACTCGGAGATCAGTTTGTTTTTCCTTAACCGCATGACACAGCCGCCAGATCCCTATTAAGCACATTGCTTGAACACAACACCTGAACATAATCACCTGTTACTTTCTGGATATCTTTGGAATAGCTATCCAGCTTGTACCTGTGAAGATAAAATTCTTTCCCACTAGTGGGCCATTTTCCCACTACTGTCAATCATTCTGTTTTAAAAGCCCTTTTTCCACAATTGAAAGAAAATGTGTTTTTTTCAAAATCAGATACTGTATATGGCTAAATTGTATCTATCTATAGTTTTCTCCTGTGGAAATTGTTTTCCATTGTTTTTTTAAGTATAAAAAACACCTTTTCTCCTAATCTTGGGTTTCTGAGTAAAATAGGCACATGCTTTACTTATTGGGATAGAATATAGATCTGTGTTCAGAGCCTGCAAACCTGTGTAGTGGAAGTTATATAATGTCATCAAATATACTGTAGTGTTAAGTCATCTTTGGGAACACTTCCTGACATGCTTTAAATGATAATATTTGAAGCTCCCATAAGTGGAGTGCTAGTTAATTGTCTCACAGAAGAAAGAAAAAATTCAGGATTAGTTGGACTGATCCTTAGTGTCCCTACTTTTTAGTTTGGCCTCCCCTTGTGCCTAGTTCCAAGCTTGCAGGGCTAGGCATAGAGTTTCTGTCACCTCCTTGTTTTGAAAACATGGTCTCAGTTGGATTAGGTGATGCCCTATTTAAAATGCCAGTGATCTATAGCAACCTAACTCAAGTTCCAGCACTTTTGTGAGGGGTTTTAAAAAAATGAGATAAGGAGGATCTTTTCTGTTCAATGCTCTTATATCAGACTTGTTTTCAGTAGAAGGTCTGCAAGTGAGATCTTAAAATGCAGCAGGAAGATCCTTAATATTAATTTTCTTGCCTTGTAACACGTAAAGAAGGGATGGCAGAAGAAGGAGGAATAACTGAGCAAACTGCACTGGTTTCTGAGGTAGTTTAATATTATCAATCTTTTTCTAGACTAGACTTCATCACCAGATAAGAGGAGGTCATAAATCATTGTTTCTTCATACAAAAAAAAAAAAATGTGCATAAGATTTTTGATGCCCTAAAATGATAGTGTATCAATATTTCCAGACAAAAATACACAGGTATTTCCAGATCTAAATAATTTTGTCTTAAATTTTGTGTTTTTTTAAACAGCAACTGAGACTAAGATATTAAAGAGTGCATTTTTCATTTCTGTTACATTCTTTTTGCATAGTTGAGCACAGGTGTCCGCGTGAGACCAATTTTCTCCTAACAGATAGGATTCATACAACATACCAAACCAAAAGCAAACAAATAACTTTATGTGTAGCATGGGATGTGAAACATGCCACTGGATGTTATCCCAGGATTATACTTTTTCCCCAACAGTCTTTCTTTTCCTTGCAATTGTCTCATTACAGCAGAAAGTAAGAAAGACTCCCAGGAGTACAGCAGGAGCAAGTCTTTAATCTTAGCATAAGAATTTGCAGAATTCTGCCAAGGTTTTGGAAAAGAACTGGTAGGAGTAGATGAAGGGTTAGACCAGACATGAAATGTGTCAGAGCTGCCTAGAACAGTAAGGGGATAAATGGGGGCAGAATAAAAGTCAGGCTGAAGCAGGAGAGAACATCGCTCTGGGCACAGAAAGCATGTCTAAACATAGCCAGCCAGGAAAGAAGGAAAGCTTTAAAAATAGTGCTTGGGGAAGATCGTTTTTGCCAGACTAAGCTCCTGACATCAGGCTGCGGGCCAGTCTTGGGTACTGACGGGAATTCAAATAAGGTATATGCAAAAATTATCTCAAAGGCCCTGGATGAAGGCAGGGGTCAAAATAGATTTTTTCATGGTGTCACTTGCCTATTATAAGTGAGCAACAGTTGAAAAGCAGTGTAAGGATAGATAGTAAAGGGAAATGAGTTGGAAGGGAAGTCTCCCAAAGCTGGAACTGGGCAGAAAGTACCTGGAATTAGTGGAGAGAACAAGAGTATTTCCCAAATGTTATTTTCAGATCTATTATAAATGCTAAGAATGAAGCCAGCTGCAGAGGAGCATGAGGTTCTCAGGGCAGGCAGAACTGTTTTATAAAACAGCAAGAAGGAGACTCCTTCATCCTGGATGGGAAAGGACAGCCATGTTTCTTGGCGCTATGTGGGAGAGACCCACTCTGCAGCTGTGGGGGGGAAGGTGTGCAAGTCTGGTATTCTTTCCCTACAGCAGAACTAATTGCCTCCCCAGGTCAGGACATTTGCAATTGTAGCTGGGGGTGGTTGGGTCCCTTCTGAAGTAGGATGGATTGTCAGAGCTACCCAGTTTCCACAAAAATAAGACATCCCTTGATAATAAGCCCAATTGAGCTTTTGAGTGAATGTGCTAAAATAAGCCCCCCTGAATATATTTAAATGCATGCACAGCCGGTCCCTGCCATTTCTGGTTTCCTCCATGTGCCCCAAAATCATAAGACCTACCCAAAAATAAGGCCAAGCGCTTATTTCGGGGTTTTCAAAATATAAGACAGGGTCTTATTTTTGGGAAAACATGGTAGCTGTGTTTGCCAGAATGTGACCCAGGCCTGGTGGGAAGGAGCGAGGGCCTTCCAAAGCAGGCCAGACCAGGAAACCAAAGCCAGAAGTCCTCGCCCTTCCTTTATCATAAGCAGATTCTTTCAAGTGTGAAAGCACTCCCTGGAAAGAATCACTATGTCCCCCCTAAAGATCACAGGGACTTCAACAGGGCTGGGGGCAAAGTCCTCGAGATTTTAGAGCATGGGTAACTTCCTTTTTTTAAAAAAAATAACTATTAGATTTTAAAATAAATAAAAACTAACAAGAACTAATATTTAAGAGAAAAAATAGAAAAAGTAAAGAATGAGAGAGAGAATAAAACCAAGAATAAAACCAGTGCAGAGAAAAAAAAGACAAAGAAACGGTTTCTGTTTTTCCTTCAAAGCAGATACAAGCATAAATTCACATTTCTTACTCTTACCCTTACTCTTACTCTAAGTTTACAACATAACTTTCATTTTCCTGTTGTCTCCTATTTT